GGCACCTGAACCCGCCTGCAGAGTTCCGTATAACCAGGGAGCACCTCCAGGGTTCCATTCCCGAAAAAGGGAGCAGCTAAGTCCGGTCTTGCTTCCCCTGCAAGCTTAGCCCCCAGACCAGCGGAAAGCCGCTGTGAGTGAGGCGTCCCCCCTCCTGCCTGAGTGCGGCTCCCCGCCCTAGCCCACCGCACTGCCCCTGGAGGCACCCTGCGGAGGCACTGAGAGGGGCTTGGAGCCCTGCCTGCCGGCAGACCTCCTGTCTGCAGGGGCAAGAGAGGGACTTGGAGCGGCCTGGAGCTCTCCACACCCTGAAGTTCCAGGGAGTCACAAAAAAAACCTGCCTCCTGCTGCCTCCTGCCTGTGCTCACCCAGCTCCTGCCATCAGCTGCCGCCAGCCAAGGCCTTCAGCAGGACCTGCTTTGGAGCTATACCAGCGCCTCCTGCTGGCTGAAACGTGCTACTACACCCCCAAAACCACTGAAAGGAAGGTAAGATAGGCAAGCCAGCGTTTTTTATTTCAAATAAGAGTACTTGATAATTTTACACCTTAAAACTGACTAACAAATTTTTCAGTAATTCTTGTAATATGGCCGACACCATTACCTCACAAGAATTTAAAAACTTTTTTGCATGTATGATGAATGACATTTTCCTGGAAATATATGACCTTCCTAAGGCGTATCTGGCCTGTACCATTTTTGGCATTTACCGTAATAATTCACAGTGTTCAAACACTCGTTTAATAATAAGAACAAAGATGAGACGTTATTGGGACTGATACAAGCTTTAAAAGATAGCAATGAAAGCTTACATTAAAAGATTCTTTCTCTGGAATCTGCTAACCAGGGTTTAGAAAACAGGCTTCTTAGTTTGGAATCTGCTAACATAATACAAGAACTTCAGTCCATTAATAATAAATGTATAGCCAAAATTGATTTTATTGATAATAAATATGAATATTTAATGGATAGAACAATAACTCTCCAGAGTGAAGTTGTAACTACTCAGACACTATATTAGAAAGATTATCATTAACTGATAAGATAAGGTCCATGGAATCAAGTGTTTCTGAAGAACATAAAAACTTCCATGATTCCATGAGAAATCTGTAATCCCTTGCAAGAGCAGAGGTTCACTCCCTAGAACAGACCCTAGGTGCGCCACCACCGCCCAGCTCTGTTTAAGATAATTTGTATGTTGATACAAATACAGAACTATATTTGTTGTCATGCACATATATTTCTACTCTTATTTGAAATATTTGTATATTGATACACATGTAAATTTATATCTGTCATACTGTATGTATGTTCTACCTCTGTTTAGGATATTTTGTATATTGATATATATTTAGGATTATTGTCATATTGCATATTGCACTATACATTCCTACCTCTGTTAAAGATATTTTGTGTATTGTCACAATTTTGAAGTCATCGTCCTTTACCATACATTTGCTTACAGACTGTTACCTTGTTTACATGAAGCCTTAGTCCTTAGGTTATTTAGGTAGATAAGACTTATAGATTTATAGTCACCTATGCTTGTCATCTCTATAGTTACGTTAGTTAGGTAATCCAGATTTACAGATACATAGGTCAGATGGACAGGTAATCTTTAAACACTTCATAGACCTTGAGAATATGGCATTTAAATAACTTAGAATTCTGTTGACGTGAGACACAATTGCTCCTGGCAGCACCAATTTGATCCAGAGAGAATGTTGGACTTCTAAGACATTTCCATTTGGAAGTTTGTCTTCTTGGCACAAAATGGCCTACTGGGCAAAGAACTGCCCTTGCCTTGACTGCTGACAGTATGAATGCAATGCTGTCCTGTCTGGACAAGCGGGACACAAGGAAAGTGACCACTGTACTCTGCCGAGACAGGGTAAGATGATCTTTCAGAATTCCTGCTTCTGAAAATGGTCTGTCAGATACTTTAGGCCTGTAGCCAATTTGAATGCACCAACAGTGCTGAGAAACATTAGGTGACTGTCCAGGCTGCCAGCTGTCTTGGTCTACTCTTATAAGACTCCCGAAAGTTGCTTGCATCCATCTTCCATTTCTCAGGTCTTTGATGGGATTGAAGACTAGCAGTTATAGTTACAACTTAGTATATATATATATATATATATATATATATATATATATATATATGTAATATCTTAGATAGAACATATTAAGTATTAGATTTAGGTTCTTTAGAATAGGACACCTTTTGGAATGATCTTTGTAACATGCCATTTACCTATGCTCCAGACTTCTCTGGATTTTAGTATGTGTCTCTTGTTTGATATTGTTTGTGTTGGTTGTAGTTCCATCTTATCTAGGTCATTATCCCTTATTACTCCTGGACAATATTTGATAATCATTCCTATTGTAAAAATCTTGCATTAAGTTAGAACCTTCTTATTTAAACAAAAGGGGGAGATGTAGTGAGTGGCCATTCCAGCTTTGACCTGGAAGTTCCAACCCCCATTGAGGCTTCGGTAACTGTCACGCCTAGAAGGCAGAGACGAGACAGGACCCCTGAAGACCTAGATCCGGCTCACTTGGTTCCTGGATCCTGGACGCTGGAGGTAGACCGAGCAGAGTTCTCCAGAGAACACCGCCGGACTGTGCTTCACCTTTCCCAGACCCTGTAACCTATTCCTTCACTTGTAAGTTACCCCACAAAATAAACCTCCCTTTTAACTACGTGGAGTGGCCTTAATATTTCAAGCAATATCGGAGTGTTAAAAACTCCTGTCATTTCTAGTTCACTCTCTGTTTTGTGAGCTTGTGGTTAAAGATGCGAGCTTTCAACACCCGATTCTTGAAGCTAGGCCTGTTTCTTGCTGCCACCCCCTCCCTGACATGACAGATTTGTCCCTCTAGAACTGTAAGCCCAAGTGAGCTCTTTCTTCTACAAGTTGCCTTGGTATTTATTTATTTATTTATATTTTATTTTTTAATTTTTTTTTATTTATTTAAATCACAATGATCAAAAAGTAACTAATGCAGTGAGATCCCATCTCAAATAAATAGGCCAGGCATGATAGGGCATGTCGGTATAATTCCAGTACTTGAGAATGGGGACAGGAAGATCAGGAGTTCAAGGTCCCTTGAATTCAGAATCTCTTTTTTTTTTTTTTTTTTTTTTTTTTTTGGTTTTTCGAGACAGGGTTTCTCTGTGTAGCTTTGTGCCTTTCCTGGAACTCACTTGGTAGCCCAGGCTGGCCTCGAACTCACAGAGATCCGCCTGGCTCTGCCTCCCGAGTGCTGGGATTAAAGGCGTGCGCCACCACCACCTGGCTGAATTCAGAATCTCAACTGTGAGAGTTATATTAAAAATAAAACTAAAGAAGGCCAGCCAGGTGGTGGCGATGCATGCCTTTAATCCCAGCACTTGGGACCAGGCAGAGGTCAGCCTGTTCTACAGAATGAGTTCCAGGACAGCCAGAGCTGTTACACAGAGAAACCCTGTCTTGAAAAACAAAAACAGAAACATAAACCAACCAAACAAAAAGTTATGTTTTTTTAATGGTATATAGGTGTTTGGCTGGCAAGTATGTTTGTATACCACATGCATGCAATTCATGCAGGGGCCAGAAGAAGGCTTTAGGTGCCCTGGAACTGAGTTACAGACTGCTGTAAGCCACCATGTGGGTTCTGGGAATTGAACCGGAGTCTTCTGAAGGAGCCAGTGCTCTTACCTGCTGAGCCCTACTTCACACATTTTGAAAAACATTGTTTCAGAGTAAGTTGTAGGCCGGGTGGGTGGTGGTGGCCCACGCCTTTAATCCCAGCACTTGGGAGGCAGAGCCAGGCGGATCTCTGTGAGTTTGAGGTCAGCCTGGTCCACAGAGTGAGCTCCAGGGCAGCCAGGACTAAACAGAGAAACCCTGTCTTGAAAAACCAGAAAAAAAAAAGAGTAAGTTCTAGACATCATGCTCCTTTATCTCTTAATCATTTCAGCAGTTATCTCCAAGAAGAAAGACCGTCTTTGAAAACATAGAGGAAAATACCTGGTGCCCCAATCTCTCCTTCAACAATCAGCACAAACTACTGTGATTCCCTACAGTTTTTCCCCACACTCCCAGCATACAGTTATTTCTGCAGCAGATAATGGTTAGCTGTCCTCTTAGGACGTTAGGAATAAGTGCTAGCAAGAGGATAATAAGACTGCTATTGTTATTTTATTTCACAATATCACATTAACCCACAGTACAATCAAAAAATTAAATTTAGTATTGATACTTGCATTTAGTATACAGACAAAGTGGAAGATGAAATCCAGGCCCAGGTATTTCACTTAATAAACATGTCTTTTTGTTATTTATTTATTTATTTTTCAGTACTGGGGATGAAACCAGGGCCTTGTGCATACACTTAAGGTTGAGTTATGAGTTATGTCTCCCAGAATAAACCATCTTCTGTCTATCTGTCTGTCTGTCTCTCTCTCTCTTTCTCCCGAGTGTTGGGATTAAAGGCACGTGCCCCCACTGCCCGGCCTTCCATCCATCTCTTTTAATCAGTAACGTTCTTCAATTTGCATGGCACACAGAATTTTGGAACAGTACAGACCAGTTAGTTTTCTGGAAGATGACCTTGGGTTTGTTTCTCCGTTTTGTTTTGTTTTGTTTTTTCCCCATGATTTGATTAATTTTATGAATTTGAGAAATGGGCAGCGATGCCACGTCCTCAGTGTGCCACGGTGCGATGCTGTGACGGTTGTGTTTGTTCTGTTGTTGATGTTAATATGGACCAGTTGGTTAAGGTGATGCCTGCAGGTTTGTCTCTACTACAAAATGGCTATTTTTTCCAAACTATCTTGGAATCCTTGGAGTTTTCTTCAATTTTCAATTTAAAAAAAAGTCTTTATTTTATCAAGTGGATCCCTATTACAGCTGAAGACAGCTAGCTGCATGCCTTTCACGTCATCGCCTTTGTCAATAAAGTTGCATGAATGAGAGCGCAAACCTCTACGGAAGGGGTGCGCCATTTTGCCGCATGGCCTGCTGGGATTTGTAGTCTGCGGGTGCTCCCGTCCAACACGGCCCTCCGTTATCCATCCGAGAAGAAGCCAGAAGCCGAGAGGGCGGGCGGAAAGAGAGTTGGGAAGTCAGCGCGGTGCTTCATAGGAATTGTAGTTCCTGAGGCGAGTCCAGCCATAGCCAGCACGGAGGGCAGGACTTCCCTTCCCGGTAGGCCCCGCACGCGGGCCCGGCAAAACCCGGCTCCGACTTGAACAAATCAAATCGAAGGAAAGAAACTGCCGGCTTTCAAAAATCCTCCTCCGCCGCCATCATCGCTGGAGATTGTGGAGCAGGTGGTGTGCACAAGCTAGACGAGCAGCCGCTGCAGCGAGGACCCTCGGGCGGACTGGGCACTGGGACCGCCGTACCGGGGCGCAGTGACCGGACCGGCCCTCACGCGAGCTCTCGAGCCGTCCCCGACGCGCGCGTTCCGTCGCCCCACGCGGCGCCGCCGCCTGTTTGCGGTGAGTCGGGGCCCTCATGCTGTTCTGTCACCTGCCTGAGCCACCAGGGCCTGGGTGGGGCGAAGCGATCGCCTCGTGCCTCCCATTTGACCTCGCTGCGCCCACCGCGGCCCCGCGTGGTGGGGTGGGGCCCTGGGTGGCGCTGACCCTTTCACATTTGGGGAAACTGAGGCCTAGAGGGGACAGATGTCTCAGCTGCCTCCCTTAGCGCTGCCGCCCGCGGTGGCGTCTCCTGTTGGCATCCATCTCACCTGGAGGCGGGCGGTGGCGAGGCCGCCTGGCGTGCCGGGTGGGGCCCCACAGCCCATCGCCGCCTACCCCGAGTCGGCCCACGTCCGCGCGGGAAGCCTGGCATGAGTCACTGCTGACGCTTTGCCGGGTCCATGGATGGATGTGCACCTGAGGACGTCGTCTCCCACGCGGCCGCCCGCCCAGGAGGAGAGGGCGTTTGTGTATTGACCGTTTGTGTCTGCTCCCTCGCAGGCCGGTTGCTGACCTTGGAGAGATCAATTCCATCCCTCTGTGCTTTGGCTAGTCATTCTTTAAAGTGAGTGGGGGAGGGCCTGTGTGTGCCTGTGTGTCCCCGGCTCATGGACTGAGCATGTGCCTCCCTTCCACCTGGAGCGTGGACCACCACCACCACCACATTTTTAACCTCATTGCCCCATCTAAGAACTATAGGAGGTGGCTGAGTGACTCATCTTCGTGTTGTCATTTTTTTTTTTTTTGAGCCTTTAAATATCAGGCCTAATACCGGGACACTGTTCTGTCAAAGCAGTTTGGTGCATTGTTATCTGCTAGAAACTCCCCCGGGACCCTCAGACTGATACACAATCTTTAAAATGGCCTTGGTGACTTAAAGCCCTTTTTATCTTTTCTCGATAACGTTTCCATTTTCGCCTCTCTGCTCTAGCCAGAGCCCCACTGGCCTTGAAGTTCCCTCCTCTTCCACAGCCTGTGCATATTCCGCTCCCTTTACAGGAAGGAATGCTCTTCCCTTGGTTTTTGCATAGCTCCATCTGTGATATCTTTAGTTTCTTTACAGAAAACACCTTTAATTTTTCTACTGTAAATCGAAACCCTCAGCCCGCAAAAAGAAATCCAACAAAAACCAAAACCACCTTCCTTGCCCCTTTCTTGGTTGGCGTATGTGGGCTTTTTCTTTGTATTTTTCAGACAGGGTCTCCTGTAGTTCAGGCTGGTCTCAACTCCCTCAGTAGCTGAGAATGGCCTTGAACTCCTGATCCTCTTGCCTCATCTCCTAAGTACTAGATCAGAAGTGCGCACCCACCACCTGGTCTTTTTGTGGTAATAGAGATTGCAACCAGGGCCTCACAAATACCAGGCAAGACTTCTACCACCGAACTGCCCCTTCCTCAATTCCATGTACCTTTGCATTGACATGCAAAATACTTCCTTTAGAATATAAGCTTCAAAGGGTGTGTGATTTACTGCAGATCTCCTGGTATTTGGAACAGTGTCAGTACATAGTGTTCAATACAGTGTTTTGTTGAATGATCTGATGTTTTATTCTGAGTAGTAATTTATGCTTATTGATAAACTAGATAAATCAGGGTGCTCAGGGATACGATAAGGAAAAGTGATGGGAGGCAGGCTGAGCCCAGAGGAAGCCTGGGATGGGGCCGGGCATCTGGGGACCAGGAGGTTGGTGGGGCTTTTGCCTAACGCCTAGTTTATTGAGAATCAGGCTCTAACCTGTGTTTAGCAGGATCACTGTCTGCATGTGACCTAGCGTTTAGAAGGTGACTGTTTAGTCCCTGTGTCTTAATCAGTGTTCTCTTGCTGTGAAGAGACACCATGACCAAGGCTCCTTTTATTTAAAATAAAAAAAGTATTTAATATGGGGGGCTTACTTACAGTTTCAGAGGTTTAATCCATTATCATGTTGGGGAGCGTGGTGGTCCAAATGGGCTAGAGCAGTAGCTGTGAGTACAACCTGATCTGAAGGCAGAGGGAGAATTCTAATGTATGAGCCTGTGGGGGACATTCTTATTTACTTATTTTGGTTTTTTGAGACAGGGTTTCTCTGTGTAGCTTTGGAGCCTGTCCTGTTAGAGGTCTGGGGTACCACCCACCCCAACACACCCTCAAACACAGACACATACACATCCTTTATAATAAATCAGTAGATAACTGTGTTTTCCCTGAAATTGACCCCCAAGGGGAGGGTCATGGCAACCCTAGTAGACCAGGCTGGCCTCGAACTCACAGAGACCGCCTCTCTGCCTCCTGAGTGCTGGGATTAAAGGCGTGGGCCACCTCTGCCCTCCTCGGAGGCCATTCTTACTCAAACCACCTTTAGTTACCTGCCACATCCTCTTGGGGCATGGAGTTATCCATTCTCTCTGAGTAGTGCTGGAGGTTAAGCCTACAGCCTCCTGCATGGTAGACAGGTCCCCTTCAGTTAGCTATAACCCTACTTTTCCATTCTGCCCAGCTGTTAAGCTCCCAGCTGTGGGCAGCTTTGTCGCTGGTGGTCAGATTATGAAATATGTATTTGGTTGTGGTTCTGCTTCCTGGCATAGAAAACTAAAATTCTAAAGTCTTCGCACTCTAATGCTGACTGCTGGCTCTTGGTCCCTTAGTTAGTGCTTGGATAGGTGGGGTAGTCACTAGAAAAACCCAAGCCATTACAGGCTTGGGACTCTTAACTCTTGTCCTGTATCCCAAGCTCAGATTTATCAGCGACACCTATGATTTAACCGTCATGCTTATGTAACGAATTCTCTCTAAACCTCCAAAAAGGATAAGCTTGGAAGGCTTCCAGACATCTGAACACAAAATTCTTGGAGGTTGACAGGCCTTAAGATTGCATGGGAGCCCTGGCTCCTTTTCTCATACCTTCCCTATACATTCTTTTTTTGTTTTGTTTTTGTTTTTGTTTTTTTTCGAGACAGGGTTTCTCGGTGTAGCTTTGTACCTTTCCTGGAACTCACTCTGTAGCCTAGGCTGGCCTCGAACTCACAGAGATCTACCTGGCTCTGCCTCCCAAGTGCTGGGATTAAAGGTGTACATTCTTTGTATTTATCTGACTGCTCATTTGTATTCTTTAAACTATCCTTTGTTTACTGGTATGATGGTGCACACCTTTAATCCCAGCACTGGGTAGGCAGAAACAGGCAGATCTCTGACTTTGACGCCATAATCTACAGATTGAGTTCAAGCCAGCCAGAGATACACATTGAGACCCTGTCTCTAAATAAATGAATGATTAAGTCATTTGTTGGGGTTTGAAGTATGATGGTAGAGGTCTGGGGTACCCCCCCCCCACACACATACATATCCTTTATAATAAATCAGTAGATACTGAATTTCCCTGAGTTCTGTGAGCTGTTCTAGGAAATTAATTGGCCCCCAAGGGGAGGATCATGGCAACCCTAATTCATAGCCAGCAGATTAGAAGCACAGGTAAACAGCCTGGGATTCCTGTTAGCATCCCGGTTGGGGCAACCTTGTAGACTGAGCCGTCAACCCCTGGGATCTGAGAGTGTCAGGGACTGAAGCAGAGGACAGCGTGGAGCTGGTGCCCCTGCAGTGGTTGCTTGTTTGAGTGTGCGCTGTGTGTCTGAAACAGTGGAGGAGCATACTCATCTATTGTCATGGCAGCCCTTGTGATGTAGGTACCTCTGGTCTCCTAGGAACCTCTGAGAGGCTACTGTGGCATTGAAACCAGGGTTGAAACCAGACATGCCTTAGCCTTGTGTACACGCCGAGTCATGCCAGCATGGGCAGTGGGGCATTCCCTGGGACGGATGACCTGGATCCCATAGCCATCTATGTCCTCTCTGAGGAGCGGGACCCTCAGGCAGAGCGCTGCCAAGGTGACCAGGCAGGGGTGTGACTGGGGCAGCCCTCGCGTTGGGACTTGACCGCCCTGCACTGGGTGTCCCTGCTGGGGCGTTTTGGAGAGCAACTTCAGGGAGTTCTCACCCCCTTTCCAGACTGGTCTTTCCAATCCCATGTTCATTTCTCCTGGTGCTTTAGCTTTTGTGTTCTCAGGGCAGGGAGAGGGCTAATCCACCCCACCTCTGCCAGAGATCTCAAGGGACACCCTCCCACACACACTTTGGGGTTATGCTAGGGATCAAACCCAGGGCCTTATGCTTCCCAAAAGCTTATTTTTAAAGATTATTTATTATGTCTACAGTATCCTGTCCGCATGTGTGCCTGCAGGCCAGAAGAGGGCGCCAGATTTCATTATAGATGGTTGTGAGTCACTATGTGGTTGCTGGGAATTGAACTCAGGACCTCTGGAAGAACAGTCAGTGCTCTTATCCTCTAAGCCATCTCTCTAGCCCCCGAAAAGAATACTTTTTAAAAGATTTTTTTTTATTCGTTTGGTTTTTTATTTTTTAAATTTTTGTTTTGTTTTTGTTTTTTGAGACAAGGTTTCTCTGTGCAGCCCTAGCATCCTGGAACTCACTCTGTAGACCAGGCTGACCTTGAACTCAGAGATTCATCTGCCTCTGCCTCCCATGTGCTGGGATTAAAGGCGTGTGCCACTATGCCTGGTTTGATAGGTGATTTTTTTTTATAATGTGTTAGGTATATTGCCTGTATATGTCTGTACCGTATACCTGCAATACCCACGGAGGCCATATCCACCATATGGATGCCGGGAGTCGACTCTAGTTCTCTGGAAGAGCAATCTTTTCAGCACTGAGCCATCTCCTTAGCCCCATGGTTCTCGCCTTCTTAATTTTGCAACCCTTTAATACAACTCTTTGTGTTGTGGGGACCCCCAACCATAAAAATATTTTTGTTGCTACTTCATAACTAAAGTAATAATTTTGCTACTGTTAAGAGTTTTAATGTAAATATCTGTGTTTTCTGACAGTCTTAGGTGACCCCAGCTTGATAACTGCTGCCCTAGCCCCTTTAAAAAATGTTTAAAAATTTTAATTCACTGTAACTGTATGTATGGTGTATGTGTGAGTGCTGGGGGAGGGGCAGGTGTCAAAAGACAAGTTTTTAATGTGTGTATGGGTGTGAATATATGCATGTGAATGTGGGTACCCTGAGAGGTCAGAGGTGTCTGATCTCCTGGAGTTGAACTAATAGGTAGTTGTGAGCTGTTCAGTGTGGGTGATGGGAATCAAATGTGGGTTCTCTGTAAGAGCAGCAAGTGCTCTTAACTGATGAGCCATCTCTCCGGTCCCCTTTCACAAGATCTTTTTTAATAGATGCAGTGAACTTTATTGATGGAATTCTAGGGGTAGGGCTCCCTAAGCCCCGCCCCATCTTCTGGGGGTCTGGGATGGAAACTGAGGGGGATGCTCAGTGTTGGGGGCCGAGTTGGGGCAGCCCTCCTCAGCAGTGGAGGCTTCTCCCTCGCTCTCCTGTCCTTGCTGGGATGGGTGGTCTGTCTAGGACTTTTTACTCCTTGGAGGCCATGTCAGCCATTAGGTCCACCAGCCTGCTGCTGTAGCCAAATTCATTGTCATACCAGGAAATGAGCTTTACAAGGTCGTCATTGAGAGCAATGCCAGCCCCAGCATCAAAGGTGAAAGAGTGGGGTCACTGTTAAAGTCGCAGGAGACAACCTGGTCCTTGGTGTAGCCCAGGATGCCCTTTAACGGGCCCTCCGATGCCTGCTTCACCACCTTCTTGATGTCGTCATACTTAGCAACTTTCTCCAGGTTACAACATGTCAGATCCATAATGGACACACTGAGGGTAGGAACACAAAAGGCCATGCCCGTGAGCTTCCCGTTCAGCTCTGCGATGACCTTGCCCACAGCCTTGGCAGCAACCAGCGGATGCAGGGATGATGTTCTGGGTGGCAGTGATGGCATGGACTGTGGCCATGAGTCCTTCCACAATGCCAGAGTGATCATGGATGACCTTGGCCGGGGGGTCTAAGCAATTGTTGGTGCAGGAAGCATGGCTGACAATCTTGAGTGAATTGTCATGCTTCTCATGGTTCACACTCATCACAAACATGGGGGCATCAGCAGAAGGGGCAGAGATGATGGCCCTTCTAGTGGACCCCGGCCTTCTCCATGGTGGTGAAGACACCAGTAGATTCCAGCATACTCAGCACCAGCATCACCCCATTTTATGTTGGTGGGATCTCGATTGTGGAAGAAGGCAATGGCTTTCTGTTGATAACAAGCTTCTTTCCTCAGCCTTGACTGTGGCAATGAGTGACATTGCCATGGGTGGAGTCACACTGGAGTCACTGGAACATGTAGACCATGTAGTTGAGGTCAGTGAAGGGGTCATTGATGGCAGCAACATCCACTTTGTCAGACATGAAGGAAGCTCTGGTAACCAGGCCCCCGGTACTGCCGGTACTGCCGATTCCTTTCACTCCGACCTTCACCATCACGTCTTAGGACGAGGCTGGCATTGCTCAAGGAGATGCAGCTATCTCGGGAACGGGTGGACCAGAGACACAAAGTTCTCTTTTCTTTCTTTTCTAAATTTATTTTTATTTTATGTGCATTTGTGTTTTGCATGCGTGTATGTCTGTGTGGGGGTGTCAGGTTCCCTGGAACTGATTTATAGCCAAGAGCTGCCATGTGGGTGCTGGGAATTGAACCTGATCCTCTGGAAGAGCAGTCAGTGCTCCTCTGCGCTGAGCCATCTCTCCAGCCCCACAAGATTCTTTTTTAATACAGTTTTTGTCTTCAGTTGGCAGATCTCCAGGGCAGCCCACCATTTTCACCAGCATGGCCTCTGAAGACATTGCCAAATTGGCAGAGACCCTGGCCAAAACCCAGGTGGCCGGAGGACAGCTGAGTTTTAAGGGCAAGAGTCTCAAGTTGAATACCGCGGAAGATGGTGAGTTCCTGGGCTAGCTGTGTGAGGGACGGGGGTTAGTGTGTGCTTGCTCAGGCTTTCTGAGCATCTCCTTGCCATTGGTCCATTCTAACAGTGAGGCTTCTTCTGTTACTGTGTCTGTCTGTCAGTCTGTGTGTTTTTCTTTTGACAGGGTCTCATCAATGTGTAGCTCAGACTCGTCTCAAACTTGTCCATCTAGCCTTGCCCCTGACTTCAGGGCCAGATTCTTCCCGCCCCTACCTTTCCCCTGACCATCCCAAGTCAGCTGTCTTCCTTATGGCGGAGGCCCTGAGGGAGTTGTGTTAAAAGAGTGGCGTTGGGTCCTCATGGGAAATTCCAGTCCTTGCAACCAGGCATCACTGGGAGAGGGAAAGGGTTCCTGCCTTATTATTCATGACCAAAGTTTAGGCAGCACAGACATCCCTGAATCCCTTGCTGCCTAGAAATGAAGGTATCTGCCTTCAGACCTTGTGAGACCTCTTGGAGTTCTGGCCGAACCAGGGAAACTGGTTTGGATTGTCAGATTGTCTCATGTACCACTAAACTTGCTCCCCTCCCTCCTCCAGAGGTTTTTGTGAACTTTGGGAGGGTGGGGATGTCTGTCCCTCACAACTTCATTGTACCTTGAAATGTACAGATTCCTCGATGGATACCCGACCCCCAACCTCACCTGCTTTGTTTGTTTTGATTCCTTATTAGTTTGTTGTGGGTTTTTTATTGCTTTGTTTTGTTGAGGCAGGGTCTCAAAGTAGATGAGGCTAGCCTTGAACTCAAAGATCCTCCTGCCTTTCTACCTCTCATGCTGAGATTATTAGAAGCACTTACCACTAGATCTGACCAGTTGTTTTTCTGAGACAGGGTTTCTCTATGTAAACTTGGCTGTTCTGGAACTCGCTCTGTAGACCAGGCTGGCCTCCAACAACTTTTGTTTTTCTGAGATAGGGTCTCATTCGTCCAGGCTGGCCTCAAACTGGCTGTAGAGAATGGCCTTGAACTCCTCCTGATTCTCCTGCCTCTGCACTCTGTGCCTCTGCACTTTGTGCTGTCGTCTCTGGGGGAGGGTAGAAGTGTTGCTGTTCTACAAGTGAGACTAAGTCACTCATTTCAAGGTCACACAGTTCTTGGTTTATTATGTATACAGTGTTCTGCCTGCATGTACACCTGCACGCCAGAAGAGGGCACCAGATCTCACTACAGATGGTTGTGAGCCACCATGTGGTTGCTGGGAATTGAACTCAGGACGTCTGGAAGAGCAGTCAGTGCTCTAACCGCTGAGCCATCATCTCTCCAGCCCTCAAGATCACAAATTTCACAAATAGCAAGATTAATGGGGTTCACCCTGCCCCCGTGCTTCTGAATAGACACTGAGCTTAATTTAGTAAATACAAATCTCAAAACACTGCTGTTTGTTGGGCTGGAGAGATGGCTCAATGGTTAAAGGCACTTTTATACCCTGATGACCTGAGTTCAGTTGCTGGAATCCATGTGGTAGGAGAGAACTGACCATTGCAAGTTGTTCTCTGACCCTACATTTGTGTGCACTCACACAAACACAATAAATAATGTATGATTTTTTTCTCCTTTAGTAGGCTTTATCCCCATTTTGCAGATTTGAAAACTGACTGAGGACGTGATATAACTCCCCTAAGGGCATAGTCACCAGTAGTGGAGATAGAATTAGAATTCAAGTTTTGGGCCGAGGATGCAGTTCAATGTACTTGGTGTACAAGGCCCTGGCTCTGATGCCTAGCATTGGAGAAAGCAGACAAAGGCCTTGAATTTTTCCACCTTGCCAGCATTATATTAGGTCTCTAGGATTGCCCCCCCTTACTCCAGCCTCTGAGAAGGAGCTCCTAAAACTTTGAGTGGTAACGAGGTACTTGGAGGCAGAATGTGAGCATCTTTGAGAGATCTGAACAAAAGGACCTGAGAAGTGACGATCACTTTATCTTTGATTTTATTTATTATTTATTTGGTGAGCCAGGGTTTCTCTGTGTACCCCTGACTCTCCTAGAATTAGCTTTGTAGACCAGGCTGGCCTCGAACTCAGAGAGATCCTCTTGCCACTGCCTCCTAAGTACTGGACTAAAGGTGTGCGTCACCAGGCCTGACCCTGCCCTTTTTCTTTTAAGGCTTGTATAAGTGTTTTCTTTTTTTTTTTTTTTTTTTTTTTTTTTTTTTGGTTTTTTCGAGACAGGGTTTCTCCGTGTAGCTTTGCGCCTCTCCTGGAACTCACTTGGTAGCCCAGGCTGGCCTCGAACTCACAGAGATCCACCTGGCTCTGCCTCCCGAGTGCTGGGATTAAAGGCGTGCGCCACCACCGCCCGGCAAGTGTTTTCTTGAACAGCCATCTGAGAAGGCCAGTCTCCTGACATTAGAGGGGGACCACCTTTTGGAGCAAGTCTTGCAAAAGGCAGAGATCACCCTAGCTGCTGTCCTCAGGACAGCTGTAGAGGAGGTTCTAGCCCCAGGCATGGCAGCAAGAGAATCAGAAAGGTCATTCTTGACTACATAGTAAACTTCAAAGCTTGACTGCGCTACATGAGACCCTATCTTTAAAAACCACCAAACAAAAAAAGAAACTATTCATAATGTCACTCACTAGTGCTAAACACCACAATGAAGGCCTGTGCTCGCTTGAGCATGGACGAATAGTCTGCCTGCCCATCCCTGCCCTACCTAGGCTGGGAGCCTGTCCCGTTCTAGCTTGTTCATAGCCTTGAAAATGAGTTAAGGTGCTTCCTGAGTTGCCCCTGCCCCGGTGGTTCGAGACTGCCAAAGCCTAAGGTGCTCTGTTCACACAGCTAAAGACGTGATTAAGGAGATTGAAGAATTTGATGGCCTGGAGGCCCTACGATTGGAGGGTAACACGGTGGGCGTGGAAGCGGCCAAAGTCATCGCCAAGGCCTTGGAGAAGAAGTCGGAGCTGAAGGTGAGAGTACATGCAGGGGAGGGCCGTGCCACATAGGACAAGAGCCCCTCAAATGGCTACAACTACGACCTTGGTCCAGAGCCTGTTGGACCCGTCTTGAAAGACAAACTGGAAGAGTCCTCTACTCGCAATGCATGTCCCATTCCCCCAAGAAGCATGAAAATTAGCCAGCACATGCTTCTTTTTTTTTTTTTTTTTTTTGGTTTTTCGAGACAGGGTTTCTCTGTGTAGCTTTGCGCCTTTCCTGGAACTTGCTTTGGAGACCAGGCTGGCCTCGAACTCACAGAGATCCGCCTGGCTCTGCCTCCCGAGTGCTGGGATTAAAGGCCTGCGCCACCACCGCCTGGCGCCAGCACATGCTTCTAACAGACCCACCCTTAGCAACCAGAGCTAGGTGTAGATGTAATTCAGTGTAGATGTAGCCAACGGTTTTATCAGACACGAACAGAGAGCCGATTCAGAGAAGAAAGCCAAGAGGTCAGAGTCAAGAGCCTCACCCTTCCTGATTCAGGGATCCTCCTCAGTCAAGAGAGCTCTCCGAAAAAGGAGCCCTCCTTCCTGTGTGTCTGTCTCTATATCTCCTTGTTCTGGCTTCTGATTGGTTGTAAACTCAATCATGTGACTGCCTCGTCACTGCCTGCATGTACCGCCCTCCAGGTCCTTAAAGGCGTACACCACCACTGCCACGCACTTGCTATGGCTCTAATAGCTCTGACCCCAGGCAACTTTATTTATTACCACCACAGCTAGGCATATGGCTTTTGTAACCAAATTGTAAACGGCTACTACCTTTGTGACATTTATCTGATCATTTTCACTAAACTTGCTTTTTATGTATTTAGAAAAAAATTTTAAGTGTAAGGGTTATTTTGCCTGCATGTGTGTGTGTGCGCCATGTATGTGCCTGGGGCCTGGCAGAAGAGGACATAGGATCTCCTGGAACGGAAGCCTCGGGTGGTTGTGAGCTTCTGTGGGTTCTGAGAACTGAACCAGGGTCTGGAAAGAGCAGCCAGTGCTCTTTCTTAAATGCTGAGCCATCTCTCCAGCCCCTCCACTAGCTTTGAAAGTAATTGAAGACAAGCACCATTTCTCTCCTGGGAAGTCATCAGACACAATGCAAAAGGAAGAAAATAGGATAGTGTGAGTTTCAGCTTGACACCGTTGCCACCTAAGGCTCTGAGTCTGAGCCTTGTCCTTCCTTTGTTAAAAATGAGGGTGTGGGTGCGTGTGGGGGTGCAGACCTGAAGTCCTAGTACGTGGAAGGTGGGCAAGGAGCCTTAGAAATTCAAGGCCAACCTCAGTTACATAGTCTGAGGCTAGCTTGGGCTACGTGAGACTCTTGTCTGGAAACCAACAAAAAAGAAAAGGCGGCCGGGCGGTGGTGGCGCACGCCTTTAATCCCAGCACTCGGGAGGCAGAGGCCGGCGAATCTCTGTGAGTTCGAGGCCAGCCTGGGCTACCAAGTGAGTTCCAGGAGAGGCGCAAAGCTACACAGAGAAACCCTGTCTCGAAAAACCAAAAAAAAAAAAAAAAAAGAAAAGAAAAGGCAAGCAATGGAGGTGGGTAGGCCCACAAGCCCCAGATGGAGGTGGTCTGAAGGGCTGCAGAGAGGTACTGCTTCGCCATGTGAAGGCCTCTGTTTACTTTTGTGCTGTTCTGTCACACAGAATTGTCACATGTTCCACCAAAGGGTTGGACAGGTCAGATCTTTGTTTCCAGGTCCCTCTAGCTGTAGACAGAATTGGTCCAATTCAATGCTGAGAAAACCAAAACTAGGAAGTCTCATAGTCCTCTTGGGTGCCCAAGCTCTCAGGGAGGCATTGATGGTGTGAGACTTCACAGGAGGCTGCTCCGGGGTTCGCCAGCTAACACTTCCCTTCTTCCCGCACAGCGATGCCACTGGAGTGACATGTTCACCGGAAGGCTTCGGTCTGAGATCCCACCGGCTCTGGTAAGGACCAGGTAGTGCTTCCCTGCAGGCACAGGAACCCTGTCAGATACCCCCTCACACATCTTTTCTCTGGAGAATCAGGTTAGCCCCTCAGGTGAAAACCAGGCTGTGACCATCTTCTCCTAGTATCATGGTCCCTGTGCCCCCAGGGACCTGTTTCCTCGGGACCCAGTCTGCACCGTCTCTTGTGGCTGCTCCACTTTTCTCTGTCACTCGTTTGCTGTGATACTCAGTAGTGACTCCATAGTGGCTCCAGTTCCTAGGGCCGAGTTCAGGGGTGGCAGCCTATGATATTACCCTGGGTCTTAGCAGGGCGCAGGCTGGCAGTGGGCTGCCCTAGGTCTGTCTGCCTAGCACAGGGCCTCAGGATGAAGGTGTTTGGGGTGGCTGGCTGCCCTGGTCCTCCTCCTCCTCAGGCCCTCAGTACAGCACAACAGTGGGGGATCCTGGGACTCTCAAAGGGTCCCAGAGAGGCCACTGTGTGGGGCCAGCTCCTGAGATGGTGGAGTTGGTGTCCACCCTTGGAGGATAAGCAGTCTGGGGTTCAGAGAGCAGACTGAATGAGCTCTTGGGGGGGGGGGGGGGGGGCTAGACCTTGAGATGGCAGGGCAGCCACTGTCTTGTTTGTTGGGTGGTGGGAGGATAATAGGAAACTTTGTGCATGGTATGCGCAAAGGCAAGGTGTCCACTCTTGAATTCCTGCCATTGTCCGCTCTTAGCCTGCCCCCCACCCCCATCCCCCATCCCATCTCGGGCAGAGCTACCTCTGGTTGTTTCTCCTGGCAGGGCTGGGGGTGTCTTCTGCTCCACCTCCAGGTTTCCAGCAGCATCCAGCTCAGATAATCCTGAAACCTGAGATGTTTATGAGGCCTTCTTGCATATCCAAGTGTCCCCAGCTTAGACAGGCTCCCATCTTTATCTCTCCACTCTGGTTTCTATTGATATCTAGAATCCTGCTGTGTTGACTGGCTGGTGCTCATCCTCAGTGAGCTCAATGCCACCTCCTACAGAGAGCCCTCCCAGATCTTCCTATCCCCAGGTGCCACTCACTCCCATTCCAGTGTAGGAACATAGTAATAAACAGTCTGCTGTAAAAGCCGGTTCTGGGCCAGCCTGATGGCTCAGTGAATAAAGGTACTTGTGGTGCACACCTCTGTTCAGGCTTCATTCGGGTAATAAATGCCATGGCGGAAGAACCAACTCAGAAGTTAGTCTCTGACTCTGTACTTGCACTCTAGTACACATGTGCCTAGACCCCAACACACAGTAACAACAACAGTAATCTGTAATTATAACCCATTGTCTGTGCCACATTCCCACTGGCTTGGGCATGACCTGTGGCCAGGGCTGGGCCTGGCCCACAAGTGGCATTTGGTAGGTGTCTGGGGTCTGACTGAGTTCTCTGTGTGTCCAGATCTCACTAGGGGAGGGACTCATCACCGCGGGAGCACAGCTGGTGGAACTCGACCTCAGTGACAATGCATTTGGGCCTGATGGAGTGCGAGGCTTCGAGGCTCTCCTCAAGAGCCCCGCCTGCTTCACCCTGCATGAACTCAAGCTTAACAACTGTGGCATGGGCATCGGAGGCGGCAAGGTGGGTTGTCGGCCCTTGATCCCCCCCCTGCATCCGCACTGGAAAGTGTAGTCCAGCCCTTAGCCCCCCACCATTGGGGACTGTTGTCTCTCCCTTCAGAGGAGGAAGCAATGCCTCCCAGACAGCAGCCTGCAACCAGTGAGGAAAGGAGTCCAGAGGGTTGGGTTGCTAAGCAACCATTCCAAGTTCCTGGGTTGCCTTGGCAACACAGAGGCAGTGCTGCTGCATACCCTGCTCTGACCTGCTTGCTGTGCAGAATTCGGGGTTGGGATATCCCTGTACCAAAGCTCTTATTACTCACAACAGCTGGCACAGCCCCAGAGAGGAAAGAGCCATGGTAACTGCTCCCGCAGTCATGGTTCACTTTTATTTCTGGACAGGACTGTACCTCAGGTTCACCCTATGGCTACCAGCCATGCAGGGAGGGAGACTGGCCCTCCTGTTTCGCTCTCTCTTTGAGGCTCCTTCAGACCGAGCTGGGTAACAGAACACTAACAGGGATGGGGTGTACCTGTGAAGATGCTTCTGTGTGCATTGCTGGTACTACCTCCATTTTTCTATTGGTGTAAACAAAGGTTTGGAGGTGTGCAGTGTGTCATTCACATGGTAGTGGTAGTTTGGGAGTCTTCACTGTAGGTTCTATAAAGGGGGGCAGGTTCCAGTCCTTCCCTAAGTGCCCTCTTCCCTGATCTAATAACTTAAAAGGACCTGCTTTCTATTTGTATTTTGGTTTTGAGACAAGGTATCTTGTAGCACAGTCTTGCCTCAGACTCAGTATCTAGTTGAGCATGGCCTTGAACTTAAGTCCTTCTGCCTCTACCTCCTAAATGCTGGGATTACAGGCATGCCGTATGATGACCATTTTGTTGTTGGGGATTGAACCCAGGGCTTTGTATGTGCTAGGTAAATATTGTACCAACTGAGCTACATCCCCAACCAGGAAGCAGTTTATATCTTCTGTTGGGCCTATTTAAATGGCTTATGTCATCTGTTTTATCACTTTGGGACTTTTCTCCAACCCCACTTTCAAGACAGGGTTTCTCTGTGTATCCTTGGCTGTCCTGGGACTGACTCTGTAGACCAGGCTGGCCTAGAACTCACAGAGATCCACCTGCCTCTGCCTCCTGAGTGCTGGGATTAAAGGTGTGTGGGATTAAAGCTGTGGCTGTTCTTAAGTAAAATACAAGTTGCTTGAGCACAAGTGCTGTCAGGTGGCAGAGGACCATGGTCCGACAGGAAGCTCCTTCCGATACAGAATATGGGAGAGAATCTCGAGGTTCTGGGTTCTGGTCAGAGTCTTCTGGTTTAGTGACCATGAGAAGCATCTAAGCTGGTTGCTGTGGCACATGCTGGTAGTCTAATTACTCTGGAGGTTGAGGCAGGAGGATCACCAGCCTGGACAACATGGCAAGACTGTGGAGGATATTGGAAGACTGAGTTACAGCAATGTGAGTTCCAGGCCAGCCTCAACTACACAATGAGACCCTGTCTCAGTGAAAGATTCTGGCTTCTCATAATCTGGAAGGTTGAAATCATGACAGTTTTAACCCCGGCAGAACCCTGAGATAACTGAGAATCCACACTGTCCTTGGCTGCTCCGGTTGGTCTCTACCTGCCTTGGACCCCTGCAACTAACTCCAAAAGTATACCAAGACCAGAAAGTATAAAGGGTCTGTGTAAACTGTGAAGTGCTGGGCCCATTGTGCTGCATCAGTGTCCGTCCCCTGATCCACCACCGGACGAGGTGTGGTTCACTGGAGAACACTTGAGGCAGGTGGAGTGAGGACCTGGCCAAGATCTGCATACAACCCGTGCCTTGCCTTGCCCTTCAGATCCTGGCAGCAGCTCTGACTGAGTGTCACCGCAAGTCCAGTGCCCAAGGGAAGCCGCTGGCCCTGAAGGTCTTTGTGGCTGGCAGAAACCGCCTGGAGAATGATGGAGCTACTGCATTGGCAGAAGCTTTTGGGGTGAGTCGTTTCTTTTTACCCTGCTGTGCCCTACACAGGACTGACAAGCCACTGTTTGTTAGTTGAGATGGTCTGTCTCTCAGTAGCCAGGGCTGGAACTCTGTATGTAGACCAGGCTTGCCTCAAATTTAGAGATCTGGGACTGGAGAGATGGTTCAGAGGTTAAGAACACTGGCTGTTCTTCCAGAGGTCCTGAGTTCAACTCCCAGCACCCATATGGTGGCTCACAACCATCTGTAATGAGATCTGGCGCCCTCTTCTGGCCTGCAGGGATACGTGCAAATAGAACACTGTATACATAATAAATAAATAAATCTTAAAAAAAAAAAGGAATAGGTGAAAAAAAATTTAGAGATCTGCTTGCCTCTACCTCCTGAGTGCTGGGATTAAAGGCGTGCACCACAATACCTGGCTTATATTTTCAAAAAAGTATTTATTGTGGGGGGGGGGGGGTGCCCGCGCCATAGTGCAGATGTGGGGGTCAGAGGGTGACTTGGCAGAGTTGGCTCTCTCCGTCCACTTCACATGATTTCTCAGGTCTTCAGGCTCGCACAGCAAGTGTCTTTACCCACTCACCATCTCACTGGCCTCTGCAGCACACTTTACCAACTTGTCCCCTGTCCCCATGTTCTAGGACACTGTAAGTTCTGGTGTACACCGTGAGGACTGCAACTTGGGTCTCCATTCCCTTCTGTTCCCAACAGACACAATTTCACCAGCATTAACCAAACTGCCAGAGCAGCAGCCCCGACGGCCCCGCCTGTGAGCTGCCAGTAAGGACGCCTCATCCACGCTGGTGGCAATGGCCCTTACAGAGTTCTGGGCTGGGGGGAACTACTCTTCCCTCAGATGGACCTTCCCATAGCCTGCAGCCTTCAGTCCTCTGCTCTGCTAAGAATGGGGTTCTTCTCCACCCACAGTATCCCATCTTTCAATATCGATGGAAAAACTTAATCCTAATGTAGCTAACCAGTCTCGCGTGGACTGGGCTGTAGGGGCACTCGCGAAGGGCAATTTCAAACCCACACGAACCTTTTGGTTGGTTTGGTTTGGTTTCCTTTCTCTGGTGTGTATGTCAGAGAAGAAACTCAGGTGTCATCCTCTCCTGGGGCAGGGTCTCACCAGCTGCAGCTCAGGAAGTAGACTCCAGGGCCTGGGAGCTCTGGATCCTCTTGTCTCTGCCCCTGCAGCACCACAGCGGCATCTTCATATGGATTCTGGGGACTGAAGTCAGGCCCTCCCATTTAACAGCAAGGCAAGCACTTGACCGAGCCCACAGTTTGGGTTTTGTGGACGCTGGGTTTTAACCCAGGCTTCATGCCCTTTAGACAGTGCTATCCCGACTGTGTGAAGTGCTCTGCTCTGCCTGAAGATGGCGCCTCTCCTTGAAAGTTTGGGACTAACAAGGTAGTGCCCCAGTGATGGGACCGACTGGGACTCTGAGGACACAGACTTCCTAGCTAGAAGGATCCAGAAAGTCTTCCCAGGTGTGCAAATTAGTTTTTATTATCAGCTTGATACCTTAGAAGAATTATGAGGGAAGAGAGTTTTATTTGTGTGTGTGTCTCTATGTGAGTTTGTACATGTGAATGCAGATGCCCACAGAGGCCAGAGGCATTGGATTACTGGTACTGGAGATACAGGCCATTGTGAGCTACCCAACATGGATGCTAGAAACTGAACTCAGGTCCTCCACTAGAGCAGTATGTGTTTGTGACCACTGAGCCATTTCTCCAGTCCCTGAAAAGAGGATCTGTATTTGTATTTTGTGTGTGAGTCTTTCAGCTGCATGTACATGTGTGTGCCAGTGAGGCCAGAGTGTGGATTGTGGGAACCAGACCTGGGCCACTTCTCTAGCCCCAGGGGAGAGAGTCTTAGTGAGGAGTTAGTCTAGGTCAGGTTGGCCCGTGGACGTGCCTGCGGGTCTCTCTTGATTGTAACTGAGGTGGAAAGACCTAGTTTGAATGCGGGCAGCACTGTTGCTGGGCTGTGCCCTGCTGTGTGAGTGAAGAGGAGCAGCTGAGCAGGAACACGTAGCAAGACTGGTCTCCCTCTGCTAACCGTGGGGTGATGCAGCGGGCATGCTCTTCAGTGGCTGCCGTTGATACCCCTGAAATAATGACTTTGACTCGGAGCTGTCAACAAAATAGACTAGAAACCTCTCTTTCCCACACTTGAATCTCTCCCATTCCTGCTGCTTGGTGCTAGTCTGGCGACAGACGTGCTACATCATGAGCAGAGGCTATCCCGTCTAGACAGGTTGTCTTCCATTTGCCTTAGGGCTTCTCCCTACAGCTCTGCCATCTTCCCTAATTGAGAAAGGCGGGTGTTTGAAGATGAAGGAGCTAGTACTGGGAACTAAGAAAAGGGATATTGACTGTTTGGTTGGACTTAACAGACCTCAGTACCTTCATTTAAAACGTGGTCTTTAAAAAAGCCCTGTCAGCCGGGCGGTGGTGGCACACCCTTTAATCCCAGCACTCGGGAGGCAGAGGCAGGCGGATCTCCATGAGTTTGAGGCCAGCCTGGTCTACAGAGTGAGTTCCAGGACAGCCAGGGCTGTTGTCATACAAAAGGAAGTCCTGTTTCACAAAAACCAAAACAACAACAAACAAAACCTTGTAGTAGAATATTTTTTTCAGGTGTGTTACTTTTGTTTATGTTGCATTTGTTCAACTCTGTGAAGCTGTGTTACTGTGCCTGTGTAAAACACCTGATGGTCTAATAAAGAGCTGAACGGCCAATAGCGAGACAGCAGAAAGGATGGGCGGGGCTGGCAGGCAGAGAGGATAAATAGAGGGAGAACTCTGGGAAAAGGAAGATCGAGAGAGAAGGCGGAGGACTTCAGGGGCCAGCCACCCAGCTACTCAGCAAGCCACGGAGTAAGAAACAGCAACACATGTCACCATGCCTGGCCCCCTTTCCTTTCTTAAGTTGCTTTTGCTCAAAGCATTTTATCACCGCAACAGAAATGGAGCTAGTATTCCCTGGGAGCTGGAGTTCTAAAGGAGAGCTGTGGGGTTAAGAAGATGCCCCGACATGGTCTGTGCCCTGGAAACTCAGACAGCCTTTGGTTGATCTGGTGGCAGCACCTGCCCTACCCTCCCCCTGCTGCATGTTGCTGTAGCTCCAGGTCACAATGCCAGCTCCCTTCCCCCTACAGATCATTGGGACTCTGGAAGAGGTCCACATGCCACAGAATGGAATTAACCACCCCGGTGTCACGGCCCTGGCCCAGGCGTTTTCCATCAACCCCCTGCTGCGAGTCATCAACCTGAATGACAACACCTTCACCGAGAAGGGTGCGGTGGCCATGGCTGAGGTGAGGCGGGTGTGGCGGGAGGCTCACTGAAAGCATGGCTCTTCACCCACCTTTCTGCTCTTCCATGTTCAATACCTCACAGCCCTGCCCATTTGTACAGAGCAGGGTTAAATGTTTATACCCTATGTTTATATATGTTTAAGTCCCTGCTGCTGAGTGACCTCTGGGTCCTCACCAGAGCCGGTTCTGTTTAAGCTGCAAAGGTAGAAGCTGCCCTGGCCCCCTCTGTTTCCTTGTTGGTGCAGTACTTGCATACTGAGCCTGTGTCCGTGCTAGGTGGAGCTTTGACAGCAGGGTCCCTGCTTCAGGGAGATCCTGCACAAGGCGGGAAGGAACTGCTGACCAGTTTTGTGCAGGCTCTGAGCACAGAACTATGGTCTCTGGGTGGGTGGGGCCCATGGAAGACGAGTTATAAATGTCACAAATGCAGGTATTAGCATCAGGTGGAAGGTCAAATTGGGCTTGAGGCTTTTGTGGTAGCTTGCCTTTTTTTGGCTAAGGATAAAGACTGATCACCTGACAATGGTGGGGGTGGGTGGTTCAGGCACAGTGATTAACGGAAGAGGTCTAGACCAAATGAGAGCCTTCCTAAGCTGCTCCTAATTTGAAATGCCAGGGTGTTGGGGGTGGGTAATGAAGGGAAAAGAAGGATTGGAGACTTTGTAGGGTTGCCAGCTCTGTGAGACTATCTGTCTGTAATAGGGAGCCATGGAGAGTCTTAAGCCCTGATGTGATGGGATGCAGTTAGATTTGATTCATGCTTCAGGAAGAAACCTGTCCGTAATGTGGGGAGTAGTGCGGTTGAGGTTTAGCTGGCCTCAGATGCCAGTAGGCAGTGATAAAAGAACAGGTGAGGTGGTCAGGCCAGTGTGTGGCTGGTAGCATCACCATAGACCCTTGCTTCCTCCTGTCAGACCCTGAAGACCTTACGGCAAGTGGAGGTGATCAATTTCGGGGACTGCCTCGTGCGCTCTAAGGGGGCCATTGCCATCGCAGATGCTGTCCGTGGGGGCCTGCCCAAGCTGAAGGTGCTAATTTTCCTCCTGCCCTCTATCCTTCATGGCTGCCCCATGCTCAGGGGTTCCTACATCAGGGTGGTAGGATATGAGTCAAAAAGGGTCTGGTGTGAAGGAGGGTGGGCCTGGGCCAGGTCTCTCTTCTTTTCAGGCCTTCTCACTTTTGTGTAAACAGCTCAAGTACTTTGTGCTGGGTTCATAGCATTGTTTTTATTGTTTTTCTTCATACCCCCCCCCCCCCCCATGCCCACGCTGGGAGACCAAGCCTGCTGCTACTGTTCATGGGGAAGCTGGGAGCGCAGGGCATGTCTCCTAGCCCAGGCTTGGCATGCCTCTCTACCCCAGCCCAGGCTTGGCATGCCTCTCTACCCCTTCCTCTTGCTCTTAGGAGCTGAACCTGTCATTCTGTGAAATCAAGAGAGATGCCGCCCTGGTGGTTGCCGAGGCTGTGGCTGACAAGGCTGAGCTGGAAAAGCTGGACCTCAATGGTAGGTAGGCTGTGGGGCTGGAGGGTTGGCTCAGCCCTTGTTGCTGGCCCCAGCACTGCCCTCCCTGACCTTCCTTTCCTTCCCGGATCAGGCAATGCCTTGGGAGAAGAGGGCTGTGAGCAACTTCAGGAGGTGCTGGGCAGCTTCAATATGGCCAAGGTGCTGGCATCCCTCAGGTAGGGAACTCTGGGAAGGTGGCCCCGGAGGCCAGGGGTCAGGCCTGCTCTTCACTTACTTCCAATGGTTTCTCTCGCTATCTTCTAGTCTGGTAACTGGCACCTTGTGCTGGGTGTTGGAGAGAAAAGGATGGAGAGCTTTTGTATGTTCAGCAGAGAACCATGGGGTTAAGCAGGACCACCGTACAGACCTGCATGTTGGAAGGCCCCTAAAGGCTGCTGTCTCAATTTTTTTTTTTTTTTAAGATTTATTTACTTATTATGTATACAGAAGAGGACATCAGATCTCATTACAGATGGTTGTGAGCCACCATGTGGGTGCTGGGAATTGAACTCAGGACCTCTGGAAGAGCAGTCGGTGCTCTTAACCTCTGAGCCATCTCCAGCCCTCAATTTTTTTTTTAATCTTTAGGGGATGAATGTTTTTGCCTTTCATGTATGTCTCTTCATGTGTATACCTAGTCCCTGTGGAGGTCAGAAGAAGGTATCAGATCTAGAACAGGAGTTACAGGAGTTATAGGCAGCTGTGAGCCACTGTGTGGGTGCTGGGAATTGAACTCTGGTCTTCTGCAAGAAGGGTCACTGTATGACCCTAGCTGGACTGGAATGCAGACATCCACCTGCCTCTGCCTTCCAGTTGCTGGGATTAAAGGCATGTGCCATCACTCCCAGCAGATCTGTTAGCAGAAGCAGCGGGTGAAGGACAGTGTGGGAGGTGCAGGCACTGGAAGGGGACAGGCTCGGTTCTCTGACTGGTAGGAATGGTAGAGGTTGGGGCAAGAGGAGGATGCTGAGGTGGGCAGCAGTCGGAGGTCTCCTGCCTCCGTCTTCCCTCGGGAGGCTTCATTCATGTGTCAGACACTTCTGTGTTCTCAGGGCTGGGGACTCTAGTATAGGCCAGATCTCTAAAGCTTCAGGGTCTAAGGGAACTAGAGTGCCATTACCCTTCCACCTGGTGTCCCATGAGATAGAGTTGGCACTGCCCCGGGCATCCCAGCCTGGGCAGATCCTCAGGCTCCTTTGGGGCAGAGACCACTTCTTTTTCTTCTGTGTCTATAATAGCATGGGTAGCATCCCTGGGGAATGAAAGACAACACGTGCTGACCCTTGAGTGCCATCCTGTGAGCAGTGCTGGGCCTGGCCAGAGCCCATGACAGTTAGGCCTGTGAGGCGGCATGGGCTGCTGGGCTTCAGCTGGCTTCTCTCTGTAGTGATGATGAGGGAGAGGATGAGGATGAGGAAGACGAGGAAGGAGAAGAGGAGGAGGAGGAGGAAGAGGATGAAGATGAGGATGACGAGGACGAGGAGGAGGAGGATGACGAGGAAGAGCCGCAGCAGCGAGGGCAAGGAGAGGAGTCAGCTACACCCCCACGGAAGATTCTGGACCCTAACAGTGGGGTAAGTTTGATGTCATTTGCTGGGATGGATCAGAGTCCTGGTCCCTGAAAGCCTGTTGGGGGTGTATATTCACATCTAATAGCTACGAGGGCCAAATGGATAGCAGGGTTCTCAGCAGATCACATCAGGAGAGACCTTCTGGATGTGTCTAAGTGTTTTACCAGAATGTAAGTAAGTGCACGCGTGTGCTTGTGTTTAGAACACATAGTACTATTGGTACATTTTTTTTTTAAAGATTTATTTATTTATTATGTATGCAGTGTTCTGCCTGTATGTGTGCCTTCACACCAGATCTCATTATAGATGGTTACTGGGAATTGAACTTAGGACCTCTGGAAGAGCAGCCACTGCTCTTAACCTCTGAGCCATTTCTCCAGCCCCCGGTACATTTTTTTTTAAACAACAACAGAAAACCAGCAAGAATTAAGCATAGCTGGACATGATGACTAATGCCTGTAATCCCAGCACTTAGAAGGTTGATGTAGATGTAGGCGATTGCCGAAAAGCTTTGGGCTACATAGTACAGTCTTTGCTCCCTACCCCAGTGGGTTATCCTGGTGGCTGCTCTACCGAGTCTTTCTCTGTCCCACCAGCCAGCCCCCAAATAATGACATGGAGACTTATTATGAAAGCTTGTCCTTAGCTTAGGCTTGTTTTTAGCTAGATTTTTGTTTTGTTTTGTTTTTTTGAGACAGGGTTTCTCTGTGTAGTTTTGGAGCCTGTCCTGCATCTCACTCTGTAGACCAGGCTGGCCTGGAACTCACAGAGATCCACCTGCCTCTGCCTTCTGAGTGCTGGGATTAAAGGCCACCACTCGGCTTAGCTAGCTTTTATAAATTAATCCACTTCTGTTAATCTATGTTCTGTCACGTACCGCCCATCATACTTCTTCGTATCTCCTGGCACCCCCTCACGGGCAACTAGATTCATCTCCTCTTTCTTCTTTCCCGTGAAATCCCGCCTATATCTCCTGCCTAGGTATTGGCCGTTCAGCTTTTTATTATGCCAATCACAGCAGCTGTACAAATATCCCACACAACAGGCTCCTAGGGACAGTCTGGAGACCTAAGGTTGACCGAGACCTGAGTTTGCCTGACCCCACTGGCGTTCTGTTCATCTGTGTCTCATAGGTTCCAAGATAAAGTTCCCAGGGAGTCTGGGTGGAGCCATTAGACTGCCCACACCACTGCAGAACGGGGCTGCTTTCCTGGGCCCTGGGAGCAGTTACCTGACAAAGTACCTCTCAGGGTTGGGTTTCCCTGGGCACCTGGTCCTTGCTGGCAGCACTGACCTCGTTCACATAGCAACGCTCCATTTGGAGTGCTAAGGTGGCGGTATCCTGTTATACCCAAAGGCTTCAGGAACACTGGGGTCAGCGCTGTAGGACCCACGTGCTTGGGGACCTGTGAGTGAGAGAGAGCTAACTGTAGGCCTAGACTCTGGCCTGGCTGGAGTAGTGATGTTCCTGCAGCGGGATCGGGCACAGTCGGGTGGAGGACTCTGGGGTGTGGAATCTACAGAGCCCTGTGTCACCTGTTTCTCAGGAGCCAGCTCCCGTGCTGTCCTCCCCGCCTCCCACAGACCTCTCCACCTTCCTGTCATTCCCCTCCCCAGAGAAGCTGCTGCGTCTTGGTCCCAAGGTCTCCGTGCTGATAGTCCAGCAGGTAAGAGCACTCCCAGCTCCAGGACCTCCACATACCACAGGACAGACGGTCCTTAACTTAAATAGATTTGTCAATGAGCTATGTAGTGTGTCAGAGTCCCTGCCATGGCCCAGCAAAACCTCCAGTTAGGGAATTTGAGTGTTTTCCAGACTCACACTCATGTATGCCCACATTTATATTCCATGGGCTTCTGCCTGTCTAGCTGTTTCTAGAGTCTGTCCCCTTTCTGGAGCATCTGTGCAGCTCAGCTGCCCACCAGCCTCATGTGATGGCCATTCATTCAGCGAGGAGCAGCCCCTTAGCATTGTATTTCTCCATTTCAGTAGAAATGGAGACCACATGTCCTCTTAGGTGTAAAAAGCACTGCCTTTTACCAAGCATACACACCTTGGGAGGCAGAGGCCTGGCCTACATAAAGATATGGAGATACATAGTGAGACCCTGTCAATTTTTTTTTTCAAAAGCATTTTATTTTGGATGTGTGTGGAGGTCAGAGGACAGCTCACAGAAGTTGGTTCTCTCCTACCAAAGGTCAGACTTAGGTTTTCAGGCATGGTGGCAAGTTCCCTTGTCTGCTGAACTGTCTTGCCAGCTCTTCTTCTAGTACACATGAGAGAACTGGAGGTCAGCTGACAGCAACCAAAAGCTTATCTGGAACTGTTCTTTTCCGGACATGAGAGTATATGGTATAAACGTTTTCATTTCATGCTAGTCTACATTGTCTTGGCTCAGTGGAGTTTTCAGGGGTTTCCAGTGAGTGGATCTGAGCCACTATTTTAGGAAATTGACTTTTTACATGTCTTTATTGTTCACAGGATAGAGCCAGCCTTCCTGTGTGAATGTTGGCTCCCTCTGGCGGATTTCTAGTGTTAGATGATAGTGGCCATTCCCTGGGGATAATGGCACTTGGTGCATTAACTGATTTACTGCTCCTGTTGTGGGCTGACTTTTCACAAGACTCCAGGGAATAATCTGGGATGAGTCAGGGCCTCTCCTTGCCCCACCAGAGTGCCAAGGCCTTTTGCAGTTACTTTCTTCGAAGTCAGAGCCAGGGGGCTATGGCCCCTAACTAGCCTTTATCTGTCCTCAGACTGATACCTCTGACCCTGAGAAGGTTGTCTCGGCCTTCCTGAAGGTGGCATCTGTGTTTAGAGACGAATCCTCAGTGAAGACAGCAGTGCTGGATGCCGTCGGTAATGTGAGCTGGCTGGGGCTGGTAGACCCCGGATGCTTTCCTGTGTTCTGCATGTGGGGAACCTCCCAAAGCTGTGTGGTTGTATAGAGTTAGAACTTCAGCCGAGTAGGGGCAGGGCAGATAGTCACATCAGCAAGGCTCTATGAGTTATCCTGTCAGAGAAGCCTTTGTGCCGAGTGGGAGACTCTGCACATGTGTCGCCCACACAGAAGACACCTTCTCTCACCTTCGTAAGATTTCCAAGCCCCGTCATTCTATCCAGTCCAGCCTTGTCACCTTCTACCTCGTCACATCTGTTAGAACCTCCAGTGTGTCAGATTTGACCAGGCACAGAAGAGAGGAAGTTCCAGGAAGGGCTAGCTCATGGCAAGAGAGGGAGCAGAAACACATGCCTCTTAGGCTGTGCTGCTCTGCAAAGGGTGGGAGGCTGTTCAGTGAGAAGGGAGGCATGCTCTATGGCTGCTCTCCAGGAACCGTGAACAGCTACAGATTCTTTTGCATGGCCCCATCAGGTGGTCTCCTTTTTGCTCCTAATATCTAAAACCTCCCTTGGAGGTTTCCATGGCCCAGGCCCCATGTGCAAGGTAGACAGAATGGGTACTGTCTCCACACCCATTTTATAAGATACCAGGTGGACAGGGCATTTCCACGGGTAAATTGAGCCTTTCATTGGTTCAACTCCCCGCCCCCAATCAACTATACCTGTCTGTCGTCCCTCCCACGTCTACCTGTTGACAGGGCTCAGGATACCCTTGAGTTATGCCTAACCCTCTCCTGCTGCCTGCATCTCCCATGCTCCATTTCTGTCCCTGTAGACGCCCTCATGAAGAAGGCCTTCAGCTCCCCGTCTTTCAATTCCAACACCTTCCTCACCAGGCTGCTCATCCACATGGGTCTGCTCAAGGTGAGGCTTCAGGGAGTGGCAGGTCTGGAGAAGGCAGCTCCCCGCCACTCCCAGGGGGTCACTGAGGTAGGACGTGGGTCTCACAGGTGACTGTGGAGCTTGGCCACTTTTATTTTGCAGAGTGAAGACAAGATCAAGGCCATCCCCATCCTGCATGGCCCCCTGATGGTGCTGAACCACGTGGTACAGCAGGACTACTTCCCCAAGGCTCTGGCACCCCTGCTGTTAGCCTTTGTGACAAAGTGAGTGTGACCTTACTGTTGTGCCTGTTCTTGTCTAAGGCTCCTTGACTGGATCCTGTGTAAAGGCCAGAGTTACTGACATTGTCCTTGCAGAGGCTGGCACATGTACCTCACCCATATACGCTACCCCACCCCCGCTGATGCTGCCAGGATCCTCACTGAGCTGTCTTCTCCACAGGCCCAATGGCGCACTGGAATCCTGCTCCTTTGCCCGCCACAGTCTGCTGCAGACACTACACAACGTATAGGCTTAAAACCATCTTCTCGTCCCTCACCCTGCACCAGTGACTGAGGGGACCTGGATGGACTGAGCTCAGCCAACATCTCCATTGGATAGGACTTTGACCAGAGGCAGGGGAGGGTCTTTGTCTCGTGTGTGGGTGTGGTGTGTGTGGGTGTGTACTTCCTGTCTGGATTGCAGATGTTCATCTCTCCCTGCTGGACTAACCCAGGTCCACTGTGGGGGACTGATACCCAGGGGAAGGGGCTGAAAGCTGCTTTGTTATTAAACTCACCAACTTAGCCGTAGGCCTGGTGGCTGTCCTGCCTACCCTCTTTCTGTCCCACCAAAGCCTGGGGCATCACTGTGTCCTGCTGTCTCTACCGTGCCTAAGGAACTGTCAGAGGGGGCTGTCATCAGAAAGTCAAACTCCGGCTTCAGCCATCTGGCTCAAAGGAGCTGGGGGCCAACCCCAAATAGCCCAGGAGTGGGAATTGTCTGGGGTGCCCTGGCTCTTATACCCAGAGGAAGCGCTTTGGCTGGCCCAGACCTGTTCTTCATCCTGGGGAGGGAAGGGCAGGTCTCCCTAATACCAGAGCTACATGTTGGGTTGCCCTTTGAGGTTTTTCTGAGGCAGGATAGTGTATTGGGGATTGTGCTGGGTAGAAGATGCCCTGTGACTTCCCTTAGTGGCTTGTGGCCACCTCCTGCTTTCCTTTGTGTTGTGTGTCTGGGCTGTGCCTGGGAGCTTCACAAATAAAAGTCACCTGTGGTAGCTACAGAGGCCCAGAAGCTTTTTCATCAAAAGTGGGTCCATCTCCAGGCTGGGGTGGTGGTTCCGTGGTTCCGACAACTTGCAAGGGTGAGGACCCATGAAAAGCTGGGTCGGGCCATGTGCATGCACACGTACACACACGAGAAAGTGCAGCACATGGAGCTCCACCTCAGTCCCATCTCTGTCAGGGGCAGGCGGCCTGGGTCTCCTCCTGGGCCCTCAATGCTTCCTCCTCTGCTCTGGCGGTGGAGTAGGGCTCTCCCTCTGAGCCCTGGTGCTGAGTTGGTTCTTCTACCTGCTTGCCCTTGAGGAGCTCCCAGTCTGGCCCAGGGTGTGGACAATGAACATGGAGCAGAGGAACCTTCAAGTACTTCAGTCTTGAGGTTCAGGTGGGAGGCCAGGAGGGTGGCATGTAACAGGGAAGATGGGCTGAGGGGCCTGCTTACTTTCCAGTAGATGACATGAAGCTGAATTTCCTCTGTAATGTATATAAAACCTTTACCTCAGACAAGAGTTCATCTTCCCTCACAGCAGGCCATCAGCACCCAATCTGGGTGGTGCTCAGCTGGTTTCTGGAGATGGAGAGACGACTGAGCAGTTGTGCACTTGCTGTTCTGGGTGATCCACAGTTCAGTTTTCAGCACCCACATGGCAGCTTACAATTATCCATAACTCCAGTTCCAGGAAGTTGAATCCCTTGAAAAACAGGAGTTACAGACTTTATGTGAGCTTCCGTGTGGGTGCTGGAACTTGAACTGTTGTCCTGCAGGAGGACATGGTGTTTTGGATTTTGGTTTTTCAAGTCAGGGTTTCTGTGTAGCCCTGGCTGTCCTGGAACTCACTCTGTAAACCAGGCTGGCTTTGAACTCAGATCCACCTGCCTCTGCCTCCCCACTGCTGGGATTAAAGGCATGCGCCACCACCACTGGGCTGCAATAAACATTTTTAATTATGGAACCTGTATTAGACATTTGTGGTATGTGTTTGAGTGGTTGGGTTTTTGGGGTTTTTTTTTTTTTTTTTGGTTTTTCGAGACAGGGTTTCTCTGTGTAGCTTTGCGCCTTTCCTGGAACTCGCTTTGGAGACCAGGCTGGCCTCGAACTCACAGAGATCGGCCTGCCTCTGCCTCCCGAGTGCTGGGATTAAAGGCGTGCGCCACCACCGCCCGGCGGTTGTTTTGTTTTTGAGACAGGTTTCTGAGTACAGTACTCAGTAATCCCTCCTGAGTGCTGGGATTAAAGGCGTGTGCCACCAACACCCAGCTGCATTTGTATTGTTAAACAGCAGTTTTTAATTTTTATTTTATGTGCATTGGTGTTTTACCTGCATGTATGTCTAGTCCCCTGGAACTCGAGTTCCAGACAGTTGTTAGCAACCATGTGGATGCTGGGAATTGAACCCCGGTCTTCCGGAAGAGCAGTCAGTGCTCTTAACCCCCGAGTCATCTCAGCACCCAAAAAATAAATCTTGGCTGTGCAGTGGTGGTGCACACCTTTAATCCCAGCACTTGGGAGGCAGAGCCAGGCAGATCTGTGTGAGTTCAAGGCCAGCCTGGGCTACAGAGTGAGTTCCAGGACAAGGCACCAAGACTACACAGAGAAACCCTGTCTCAAAAAAACCAAAAATAAAAAAAGCAAAAAATAAATCTTTAAAAGATTAGCTAGCAAGCTGGTGCTGCAGGTAAAGGTAGCCACCCCAAACCTGACTTCAGAGTTTAATCTTGAGGACTTAACGTAGTCGAAAGAGAGCCGACATGTTATCTCTGCCCTCTACATATGCTGTGGTACTTTTGTACCCCCCCCAAGTATGAAATATACACTAGCATTTTAATGTACAGACAGTACAGTTAAAGGGCTGGTGGGCGGCTCAGTGGGGAAAGACACTTCCCTGCAAGCCTGACTCCTGAATTCTATCCCTGAGACCCGTGTAGTGGGAGGAGAAAAGTTCTTCCTGCAGGTTGTCTTCTAATCCTCGCGCACGCGCAGGCACACATACACATATACACACACACACACACAAAATTTAAAGATGAGCCAGGGCAGGTGATGGCACACGCCTCTAATCTCAGCACTCAGGAGGATCTCTGAGTTCGAGGCCAGCCTGGTCTACAGAGCAGGTTCTGGGACAGCCAGGGCTACACAGGGAAACCCTGTCCAAAAAAAGAAAAAAGAAAGAAAAAAGATGATATCCAACAGCACGTGCTGTCACGTAAGAGCAGAGGCCAAAGGGAACAAGAGTGTCGTGTGTTAGAATGTTGGCCTCACATGCATGAAGCCTTGGCACAGAATGTCATGCTTGTAATCCCAGCATTTTAACACTCAGGTGGAGGCAGGAGGATCATGAGTTAAAAGTTTCTCTCAGGCCGGGCGGTGGTGGCGCACGCCTTTATTCCCAGCACTCGGGAGGCAGAGCCAGGCGGATCTCTGTGAGTTTGAGGCCAGCCTGGGCTACCAAGTGAGTTCCAGGAGAGGCGCAAAGCTACACGGAAAAACCCTGTCTCAAAAAACCAAAAAAAAGGCCGGGCGGTGGTGGCGCACGCCTTTAATCCCAGCACTCGGGAGGCAGAGCCAGGCGGATCTCTGTGAGTTCGAGGCCAGCCTGGGCTACCAAGTGAGTCCCAGGAAAGGCGCAAAGCTGCACAGAGAAACCCTGTCTCGAAAAACCAAAAAAAAAAAAAAAAAAAAAGTTTCTCTCAGTTGCGTATTGTTCAAGGCAAGCCTGAGCTACACAAGACCCTACTTCAAACAGCCCAAGCAAAAGTAAAAGCCAGAAGGATCATACAACCATAACCAAAGTAAGATTTGTCACTGACATGTGAGAGAATTCAAAGTATTCCAACACTTAGGGAACTGAGGCAGGAGGATTGAAAATATGAAGCCAGGCCTAGAGAGTTGGCTCAGTGGTTAAGAGCACTTGCTGTTCTTGCAAAGGACTTGGTTCAATTCTCTGCACCCCCATGGCAGTTCACAACCATCTGTAATTCCTGTCCTAGGGAATCTGATGCCCTCTTCTGACCTCTGCAGAGACCAGATATACACGTAAAAATAATAAAGTACATAAATCTAAAAACTTGGCACCAAATTACATAGATTCTGTCTCAAAAACATGTAGAAGGCAGAGGCAGAAAGGTCACTCAAGTTCCAGGCCAGCCAGGGCTACATTTTAAACTTCTCTCAAAACAAGAGCTGAAAGACGGTTAAGTGTGTATGCTGCTCTTACAAGCAGCCCTGAGTTCAGTTCTCAGTACCCACGCTGGGTGGCTCACAACTGCCTGTAGCACCAGCTCAGGGAATCGGCATTCATGTATAACATATAGCCGCCACACAGAACATAATTTAAAATAAAAAGATAATAGACTGCATATTAGGTGGTCGTGACACACACCTTTAATCCAGCAGGCACATCCCCGAGTTAAGGTCAGCCTGGTCTACAGAGTGAGATCCAGGACAACCAGGGCTACACAGAGAAACCCTGTATCAAAAAACAAAAAGAACAAGGGGTAAAAAATACTGCAGTTAGGGCTGGAGAGATGGCTAAATGGTTAACAACACCCCTGCAGAGGGCCCGAGTCCAGCTGCCAGCACCACGTGTTTTCTGGCCATCAGGGCAGCAGAGTAACAAACCACATGAGGCAGGAAGGCAGTTTGGTTCAACTGCTGAGTTGCCAGTGTTGGTTCAGACTCAGGGAGTCTCACCTCAGGTTTATCTTAAGCATTTTATTTTATTTATTTATATTTATTTTTTGGTTTTTCGAGACGGGGCTTATCTGTGTAGCTTTGCAGCCTATCCTGGAACTCACTGTAGCCCGGGCTGGGCTCAAACTCACAGAGATCCGCCTGGCTCAGCCGAGTGCTGGGACTAAAGGTGTGTGCCACCCCACCCGGCTATTTTAAGCATTTTCAAGCACAACACAATTTGGTGAAAACTTTCCTGGTGATAATGAACTCAATTCCATGTGTACAATAAAGCACATGTAAGTCTTGAGGAACAAAATAAAGACCAGCCTACAGAAACTAAAGTACATGGGACACCTTCCATTAAGATAGGTTCTGGAGGTCGACTGAAGAAAACAAGCCTGTGACAAGGGTCTGAGGGAGGAGCCCTGTGCTCAGAGCCACACAGAGCATGTTACCATCAGCTCCCAGCCTTCTGGGTGGATAATAGGTTATGCGTCCCTTTAATATTCCAGGGTGCTCCAGTGATAATCTGTGAGTACAAAACTTCTGTGCCTCTTACAGCTCCAAAACTAAAACCAATCATAAAATTGTGACTAAGGAGCTAGAGATGATTCAGTGGTTAAGAATATACTGCTCTTAGCCGGGCGGTGGTGGCGCACGCCTTTAATCCCAGCACTCGGGAGGCAGAGCCAGGCGGATCTCTGTGAGTTCGAGGCCAGCCTGGGCTACAGAGTGAGTTCCAGGAAAGGCGCAAAGCTACACAGAGAAACCCTGTCTCGAAAAAACCAAAAAAAAAAAAAAAAAAAAAAGAATATACTGCTCTTGCAGAGGGCCCAGGTTCAGCACCCACTTAGGGCTCAGGGGATTCAACACCCTCTGCTGAACTCCATGGGTTCCTGAACGCACATGGTCTGCACATATTCACACACTTACACATAAAATACTAAAAAAAAAAAAAAAGATTATCTCAATATATGCACACAAGGCATTTGACAATTCAGAAGCCTTTCATGATAAAACCCCAAGTTAGGAAAAGAATGAAATCATCTTAATGTAAAAGCCATAGAAGGCCCACAGCTCACCTCCTAACGAGGAAAGACAGCTGCTGGGCATGGTAGTCTACATGGTTTAAAAGCTTAGGCAAGAAGATTTCTATGAGCCCGAGGAAGCACAGGCTGCATGCTATTAATCCCAGCACTCAGGAGGCAGACACAGGTGGATCTCTGAGTTCAAGGCCAGCCTGGTCTACAGAGCTAGTTCCAGGACAGACTCCAAAGCTACAAAGAAACCCTGTCTCAAAAAACAAACAAACAAACAAACAAAAGTCACTTATGTTCAACAGTGTAGTACTACAAGTCCCAGCCAGAACAGTTAGACAAGAAATAAAGGCATCTGAATAAAATATCAAACTCTTGTTTGCATATCACACGCAACCTTGAATGTGCGATAATTCAAGTTCAAGGCCAGCCTGGTCTAAAGAGTGAGTTCCAGGACAGCCCAGGTCAAGGGAAACCCTGAGGTTAGAGAAACCCTGTCTTGGACGAAGACAAAAAACAAAAAAAACAACTTGCTAGGCTGTGGTGGCGCATGCCTTTAATCCCAGCACTCAGGAGGCAGAGCCAGGAGGATCTCTGTGAGTTCGAGGCCAGCCTGGTCTACGGAGTGAGTTCCAGGACAGACACCAAAATTACACAGAGAAACCCTGCCTTGAAATACCCCTCCCCCAAAAAAAAGACAGTGCTGGACAGGTGGTCACGGATTGAGAGCACTGGCTGCTCTTGTAGAGGACCTAGGTTCTGTTGCCAATGAACACATGAAGGTTGACAAATTTCTATCTCCACTTTCGGGGATCTGGTGCCCTCTTCTGACCTCTGTGGGTGCCAGGCATGCCACAGTGCACTGTACACACAGGGTAAGCACAAACAAAAAGTAAAAAAACAACCTGAAAAACTGACATTTATCAGTAAGTCTGGTACTTCTTTGGGGGAACAGTCTTCCTGTGTAGCTCGTGCTGGCCTGGAAGTTATGATCCTTCCGGCTCGGCCTCCCGAGTGCTGGGACTATAGGTGTACATCACCGACTGCTTTAGGTCTTAGGTCTGTTTGTAGAATTCCATGTAACAGTTTAAAAATATGGCTATGACTCGGCATCAGTGTGGATGATCCTCAATCACCTGCTGTGAAAGGGAAAAGGCTAAGTGTGCAGGAGCTTCAGTGTGCGTGTGAGTGCAGGACAGAAAGGAAGGAGTTAAGGGTTTCTGAGCGCCTGCCTGGGATCCAGGTTCCCACCTTAACTCCTGCAGCAACTAGTTCCCAGTGAACTAGTTTTTACCTTCCAGTGGCCGAGTTCTTCCTAGGGGCCCACAGGGCCTGCAAGAGCCCAGAGATGCTGACCCACCCGCAGGCTCCTCCACGCCCCCATCCACTCCCACCAGTCCAAGGACTCGGGCCTGGATCGTGTTCTTAAGCCTGTGCTGGACAGGCAGCCTGTAACTCCAGCCGCTGCTCCCACCCCCTGCCCGCAGCCTGGGGAAGCCCCAGCTCGGCTGGACTGCCGACAATGCTTCCCATTCAGCTCTGTCCCTGCTGCCAAGCCTATGGGCAGGGAGGGGGTACTGCCAGCGTCCAGTCGGGGACTGTCCCTGGTCTTTCCCTTGTGCAGGGCCTCCAGACAGGGCTGGCAGTTCCAGTCGGCATGGAGGGGTGAGTTTTGGGGCCCTGAGGGTGCAAGGGAGCCATGGATGACCTAGGTGGCCACAGATGATCCCTTTCTCTTTTTTTGTGCCTCTGGGAAGCTGGCTGCAGAGGCCATGGGATATTCCTTGTACCTGAGGTTCTCCAGAGGTGATTCTAAGGAAGAAAAGGGGATGTAGCTGTTCCAGTACACTCCTGTGGGTTAGTCTTTGGGGGCCATAGGAAGAGATATCTATGGTAGCCTTCTATGCCCTGGACCTTTGTCTCTTCAGGAATCAGGCTAATGGGCCCCCTTCCTGCCCTACCTCTCAAGCCAGAGTCTAGAGAAAGCCACCACCACCACCAAGAAAGGGGTGAATTCTTGGACTGAAAGGAGACAAAGGCAGACAGTAACAACCCTAGGAGTAGTTATGAAGGGGGCCCATGGGTGAGGTTTCAGCCCAGCATCAGAGAGGACGGCTTAGAATTCACACCGTGACCCCAGGTATATAGAAAGGAGCTGAGAGAATTCGCTGATGCTGGACTTGTGCAGTGGTGCCGAAGCCACTTGAGTATGCGATGGGGAATGTATACATTGTTCCTGGGGCACCAGGAATCAGGGGCTAGGAGGTTTCCCTTGGAGGTATCAGGAGTCTATCTGAATTCTGGAAAACTCCCTTTGGCTGCTAGGTGGAGCACAGGGGAGACCAGGAGAGCCACGGTGGCAACAATCTTTCCAAAGATGGGATGGGCAGTGGCTGTAGTTGTGAGGTGGAGGGATGGAAAGATGGGTGGTGCATTAATAAATGGGTGGGCAAGGGAGATACAGCTTGCCTGGTGCAGTCCAAACCCCAGGCCCTCCGTTCCCCTCCCCTGTATCGGGCCAGTCAGCTGTGTGGTACTCAGGTAACAAGAGGACAAAAGGGGAAGTAAACAGAGGCCTGAGTTGCCTGCTTACCATGATAGCATGTCTCTGACCAGCAGACAGACTCGGGGATCTCAGGCCCCTCAGCATCTGGACCTCCCAGTTGAGCCTACAGCAGACAGACTCGGGGATCTCAGGCCCCTCAGCATCTGGACCTCCCAGTTGAGCCTAAGGCCTGGGCTAGGCCAGGGCTCTTCCCAGCTGCTGCCACACTGTCTTAAGTCCAGAGTCAGGTCTCAGCGGGTTGGGGTTGATTTTCTGCATCTTCGTAAACCAAAGCTGACATCAGAAGCTGCTCCCACAGGAGGTGAGGGAAGGCGGCCAGGCCATGGCACTTTTCCGTGCCCAGAGAATGAAGGCCTGGAGGAGTCCTGAGGCAGGAGCTGTCCTGTCTCCTTGTCCTGTATTGGGGGTTCAGTGCCCACCAGGGTTGAGGCCCCATGGACATCAGCTCTCCTTCTCCTCTCAGGCCCCAGAGCTCCACCCCTGCCTTCAGGCTGCTGCTGCTGCTGCTTTTGGTGTTGTCGCTGGGTCCAGCTTGGCACGTAGCTGCCCAGCGATGCCCACAGACCTGTGTCTGTGACAACTCCAGGCGGCACGTTACCTGCCGGCACCAGAACCTCACTGAGGTGCCGAACACCATCCCTGAGGTCAGAAGAGGGGTGATACTGGCATGGGTTAGCAGTGTGGTAGGAGGGGAAGGGTGGCAGGAGCCGGGGCTCACACCAGTGGTTCTGCTTTGTCAAGTTCCTGCTCCTTGAGCCTCGGTATCCACATCTAAAATGGGAAGGGAAACAAATCAGTAACAGCCAAGTCCAATGGCGCACACCTTTAATCCCAGTGCCCAGAAGGCAGAGGCAGGTGGGTCTCATTGAGTTCCAGGCCAGCCTGGTCCTCATAGGTGAGTTCCAGGCCAGCCAGAACCAGGTCTCAGAAACAAAACCAAGCAAACCAGTAACGACATAATTTATTTAAAGTCCATTTTGTGTGGCTAAGATATCTGGTTGACTATAAATGGTGGTTGGTGACAGGTCCTGGGGTAAACCGGGGGTGTGCCGGGATAGGACACTTTTTCTGCCCTGTGGAGTTACGAATCCACGGGCGAGAAAGCCAAGAGCGGTGACGAAAGGAAAGAGCAGAGTGAGGGTGCCTCGGTGGCCGAAGGGAATCCGAGAGGTGAGGGAGAGAGGCCGAGGCTCGGGGTCCCTGTGCAACTCAGCCTCCTTCCCCCGCTCCTGTCCCCAGCTGACCCAGAGGCTGGACCTCCAGGGCAACACGCTGAAGGTCATCCCTCCAGCCGCCTTCCAGGACCTGCCACACCTCACACATCTGGACCTGCAGCACTGCCAGGTGGAGCTGGTGGCCGAGGGTGCCTTCCGAGGCCTGGGCCGCCTGCTCTTCCTCAACCTGGCTTCCAACCGCCTGAGCATGCTGCCCCAGGAGGCTCTGGACGGGCTGGGCTCCCTGAGGCGGCTGGAGCTGGAGGGGAACATGCTGGAGGAGCTGCGGCCGGGGACCTTCGGTGCCCTCGGCTCGCTGGCCACCCTCAACTTGGCCAACAACGCCTTGGTCTACCTGCCCGCCATGGCCTTCCAGGGGCTGCTGCGCACTCGCTGGCTGCAACTGTCCCACAACGCGCTCAGCGTGCTGGCCCCCGAGGCCCTGGCGGGCCTGCCGGCCCTGCGCCGCCTCAGCCTGCACCACAACGAGCTGCAGGCCCTGCCCGGGGCCGCCCTGTCCCAGGCCCGCAGCCTGGCGCGTCTGGAGCTGGGCCACAACCCGCTCACCTACACGGGGGAGGAGGACGGCCTGGCGCTGCCCGGCCTGCGGGAGCTGGCCCTGGAGCACGGGGCCCTGCAGGCGCTCGGTCCCCGGGCCTTCGCCCACTGCCCGCGCCTGCACACCCTCGACCTCCGCGGGAACCAGCTCACCACCCTGCCCCCGCTGCAGGGCCCGGGCCAGCTGCGCCGCCTGCGGCTGCACGGCAACCCGCTGTGGTGCGCCTGCCACGCGCGGCCCCTGCTCGAGTGGCTGGTGCGGGCTCGGGTGCGCTCGGACGGCGCGTGCCGGGGCCCGCGGAGGCTGCGCGGCGAGGCCCTGGACGCGCTGCGGCCTTCAGACCTGCGCTGCCCGGGGGACGCGGCGGCGGCGGAGGAGGAGGACGAGGACGAGGAGCGGCCGGCCGGGCCCCGCGTCCCTCCTCGCTCCCCGCCGCCGGAGGCCGCCGCCGCCGCCGCCGGGGCCGCGCCCTGCCCTCCGGCCTGCGTGTGCGTCGCGGAGACGCGGCACAGCGCCTGCGACGGCCGCGGCCTGCAGGCCGTGCCCCGCGGCTTCCCCAACGCCACCCAGCTCCTGGACCTGAGGCGCAACCACTTCCCGTCGGTGCCCCGCGCCGCCTTCCCGGGCCTGCGCCACCTCGTGTCGCTGCACCTGCAGCATTGCGCCATCGCGGAGCTGGAGCCCGGCGCCTTGGCGGGCCTGGACCGCCTGCTCTACCTCTACCTCTCCGACAACCAGCTCGCCGGCCTGAGCGCTGCGGCCCTCGAAGGGGCCCCCCGGCTCGCCTACCTGTACCTGGAGCACAACCGCTTCCTGAGGGTCCCGGGGGCCGCTCTGCGAGCCCTGCCCAGCCTCGTCTCGCTCCATCTCCAGGACAACGCGGTGGAGCGCCTGGCACCCGGGGACCTGGCGGGAGCGCGGGCTTTGCGCTGCCTTTACCTGAGTGCCAATCACATCACCCAGGTCTCACCTGGGGCGCTGGGGCCCGCCCGGGAGCTGGAGAAGCTGCATCTTGACAGCAATCAGCTGCGAGAGGTGCCCACGGGAGCCTTGGAGGGGCTGCCTGCGCTCACGGAGCTGCAGCTCGCGGGGAACCCGTTCAGGGCGCTGCAAGACGGGGCCTTTCAGCCCGTGGGGCGGTCGCTGCAGCAGCTTTTCCTGAACAGCAGTGGCCTGGAGCAGGTGGGTGCTGGGTGAGGTGCGGGCGGGAAGCACAGTCCATAGGAGTGCATTCCTTCAACCAGCATTTTAGGCAGGGCACGAGAACCCCAAGATAAACCAAAAATCCTCCTCAAACCTTAGGGAATTCAGGTGTGGGTGCCAGGCCAGGTGCAGCCTGCCAAGGGGCATGGAAGACCTTGAGTGTGAGCAGTTACCTGCTGTTGAGAGTCCCTAAGTGGCATGGCAGTGATAAGGTTGGGGTTCAGGCCTCACTGAAAGAGGCTGGGCATCGTGTGCCTCGGAATAGGATCAACTTGGGTTTTAAGCAAAGAACTACCCTTCCAATGTGGACCACGTTGGGCCTTCCGGCTGGCTTCTCTGCTGGAGAGAGGCCGCCCACCTGGCAGGGACCCACAACAGGGCTTTGGCACCTTCCTTGCAGATTTCTCCCAGGGCCTTCTCAGGCCTGGGATCAGGGCTCCGGAGCCTGTACCTGCAGAAGAACCGACTTCAGTCCCTGCCTGCGCCGCTGTGGCTCAGCGGGCTGGAGCTCATCGACCTCAGTGGTAATCCCTTCCACTGCGACTGCCAGCTGCTCCCACTGTACAGGTAGTCACCCCCACCAGAGGGATACCACCTGCTGCCATCAGGTCCAGCCATCTCCCTGGAGGAACCCTGGCTGTGCACCCCTGGCCGGCTTCCGGTGGCTGTGAGGTTCCTCAGAGCCAAGCGTGAAAGCACCCTTGCCAGGTCATTACTATTCCTGAGTACCCAGGATGATGATAGCGCGCCTCTGTTGCTGTGGTAAACACCATGACCAAAAAGCAAGAAGGGAGCTGGGTATGCTGACCACAGCCTTTAATCCCAGCACTCAAGAGGCAGAAGCAGGCAGACCTCTGTGAGAGGGAGGCCAGCCGGGTTTATATAGACCAGGCCAGCCAGGGCTACATAGTGAGATCCTATGTCAAAACTATCAGCCAGGCTGTGGTGGCACAGGCCTTAAATCCCAGCAATTGGGAGGCAGAGGCAGGTGGATCTGAGCTGGAGGCCAGCCAGGGCTAAACAGAAAAAAACCCTGTCTTGAAAAACCCAAACCAGGGGCTGGAGAGATGGCTCAGAGGTTAAGAGCACCAACTGCTCTTCCAGAAGTCCTGAGTTCAATTTCCAGCACCCACATGGTGGCTCACAACCATCTGTAATGAGATCTGGCGCCCTCTTCTGTGTACATACTAAATAAATCTTAAAAAAAAAAAAAAAAAAAGAAAAAAAACCCAAACCAATCAAACAAAAAAAGCAACTTGGCATGGGTTTAGCTTACAGATTACAGTTCATCAAGAAAGGCCAGGGCAGGAGCTCAAGGCAGGAACTGCACTGAGGTGGAGACGAGGGCGGAGCACCCCCTACTGGCTCGTTCTGTTGGCTTTCCCACACAGCCCAGGACCACCTACCTCGGCTGGCACTGCCTACAGTGAACTGGGCCTCCCACATCAATTATTAATCAAGATAATGCTGTGGAGACATGCCCACAGGCCAGTCTGGTGGAGGCAATCCCACCTGAGGTCCCGTCTTCCTAGATGGGTACGGTCTGAGTCAAACTGAAGAGAACTCAGTGGCACAGGGGGACCGAGCTTTGACCAGACCTTCATAAAGTTGGGATGTTGTTGTCCTCGCTTGGTGTGCTGGGACCTAAGACATGCACATGTACATTTGGCACAATTACATAAAACGACAAGAAGCTGGACCTGTAATCCCAGCAGCACTTGGGAAGTGGAGGCAGGAGGATCAGGAGTCTGAGGTCAGCCTGGACTAAAGGAAAACAAAGGCTGGGGACATAGAGTGCTTGCCTAGCACAAAGCCCCAGGGTTCAGTTTCTAGTGCTTCCTAAGTACCAGGTGTGGTGCACACATCTGTAACCCAGCACTCAGGAGGTGCAGACTGGAAGATCATAAGTTGAGGTCCACCTGGGCTATGTGAGACCCTGTTTGCCTGGTTTTGTTGTCTTAATAAAATAGCAGGAATCTGGAGACAAGCGAGCCTAAGGTCTAGGCAGCCCAAGCTCTGACGCTTCACCAAATGATCACCACAGCTCCCTTTGCTCATCTGTGAGAAGGATGAGCAATCTAACCCACATCATTGTGGCTGCTGGAGAATTAATGTTAGCAGTTACAAATTGATGATGTAGTGTCTGGTACATGGTAAGCACTGCTACTGTTTTATTATCCACTCCCCCCTTTTTTTAAGATGTATTTATTATGTACACAGCATGTATGACTGCAGGCCAGAAGAGGGCACCAGATCTCATTACAGATGGTTGTGAGCCACCATGTGGTTGCTGGGAATTGAACTCAGGACCTCTGGAAGAGCAATCAGTGCTCTTGACCACTGAGCCATCTCTACAGCCCCTATCGTCCCCCCTTTTTATGCAGAAGGGGTCAGAGGTTTAAAGTGACTTGGAGGCGAGCCACCCAGCCAGAACTCAGTAGAAACTGTTCCTCTTTTGTGTACTTTCTCTAAGTTCCCTTCATACCCCTCAGGAAATCTCTCACCCATGCATGCCTATAGTGAGCTCTCCATCTCTCTCCTCCTCAGGTGGCTCACTGGGCTGAACCTGCGGGTGGGGGCCACTTGTACCACCCCTCCCAGTGTCCGTGGCCAGAAGGTGAAGGCTGCAGCTACTGTCTTTGAAGCTTGCCCAGGCTGGACTGCCAGGAAGGCCAAGAGGACACCAACCTCCAGGTTCAGTGCCAGGAGAAGCCCTATCAGCAGAAGACATTGAGAAACAGACAAGGTTGGCCCTTAGGGGGAGGCAGGGCTGGGTCCCAAAGCTGCTGGGAAGCCACAGCCCTGATTTTTCTTGGTCCTGACTTGTGATTCCTGAACTGGGTAATGAATGACCCGTGGTCCTGCTGCATGATACAGTAATGTCTCTCTCCACACTGGACACCAGAGCATATTTATCCCAGTCCTGTTTTCATTGGATCTGTGTTGACTCCACCCTTTGCCAGCCCAACCTCATAGACCTGGCGGGAGAATGGAAGTTCAGGTGCTGGCTCTGCCTCCCAGCACCTGTCAGTCACAGGTTGAGATGTCACCTGATGTGATAGTCACATCCTTGAATGTTGGGGGTCATGTGAGGGGACCAACGGGCAGCATTGGAACTCATGGAACACAGCTGGGCGGTTGGCAAAGCCACACCTGAGTGAGCCTTGGAGAGGCAAATCCCTGAAGACTACCTGTCCTGAGGACCTCATGCTGTTAGTGAGCACAGCTCTGACTGTTGCCTTCGTGACCACCACGTCCCTCATCATCTATGGGTTGTGTGAAAACTCTCAGGGGGCTCTAGCCCCTCACTGGGCAGTGTTACTGGTACTTATAATAATAGTGATTGACTTTTTCCAAGCATTGCTGCTGGAGCAGATTAATGATTCAACCACCACCCTTAGAAAGAATTGAGATGTCGAACTGTTAATAAGATTAGGTTGAGATGTTTTGGTTAATAGCTTTGAGGTGAAAAACCTGGAGAAACAACCCAAAGTTTAGAAAGGCACACAGTTGAGGGAGGGACTCACTAAGGTCAGGGTACAAGAACAAAGCAGCCCGGTGATTATTAGCCGACGTGCCTTTCTTGGTAGGGTGACTTGGTGATCAATGATGGTTCCTTGTGCCCATTTCTGCCCTTCGCTTTCTGATATACAAAACTGTTGATGAATGAGTCTGCACCCTAGGATTTAAAGTAGAGCTGACTGGTTTTCATATATAAAAGTTTAGGTTTGTGATTCAAAACTTTTTATAGTCTTAAATAAATAATCAATGGCCTTTTCTTTTTAACTGCAAAATGCAGCCTGCCAGTAAAAGAACTGGCTGAGAAAAATACCTTGCTTGCTTATACTTTGTTAATCTGTAACAAGTTGCTTGGACATGGATGTGTGTTTGTTCTTGAGACAACTTGTTTTCACTTGTAATATGTAAAATGTTTAATCCTGTAGAAACATGGAAAACATGTTTTTTACTTGTAGTCATTGTAATCATTCACTTAAAAAAAATAGGATGTAAAGCTGGGCGGTGGTGGCACACACCTTTAATCCCCGCACTGGGGAGGCAGAGGCAGGTGGATCTCTGTGAGTTCCAGGCCAGCCTGGGCTACAGAGCAAATTCCAGGGCAGGCTCCAAAGCTACACAGAGAAACCTTGTCTTGAAAAACCACCACCACCAACAACAACGAAAACCCAAAACCCAAAACCAAAACCAAACAAACAAACAAAGAATGTAACCACATTGTAATTTTTATATTCTTGGGAGATTTTGCTGGGTATATAAGTTGTAAGGAAAAAAAAAACAAAAGAGAAGGAAAACACCAGGAGAGATGGAGAAGGAAAGATGTAAAAGGAAGACATCAGGAAGTAGGGTAGCAGTCATCAGGAAAGCAGGGGAAGAAGGGAAACACCAGGGTGGAGAACAGACCCAGAAAGAACAGAGTGAAACAAGGACAAGAAGACTAAAGACACTTCTGTCCCTCAGAAAAGAGGTCTGTGCGTTTTTCTCTCCAACTCTGCGTCTCGTTCCCAGTCTCTGACCTGCAGAAGGCTCACCCTCTGGACTTGTAGCTGTCTTGATGTATCAGTGAAGGAAGCCTGAGCAGGCTGCAGGCAGCTGCAAGGTGAGCCCCTACATGTAGGAGCTCCTGGTGCAGACAGATGAGGCCAAGTGTGGAGTCCAAAGGGAGGAGACTGTGTCATAGAGGGAAATGGGCAGAGAAACCGGGTGCTGGGAAGCGGGTGTCATAGAGGGAAATGGGCAGAGAAACCGGGTGCTGGGAAGCGGGTGTCATAGAGGGAAATGGGCAGAGAAACCGGGTGCTGGGAAGCGGGTGTCATAGAGGGAAATGGGCAGAGAAACCAGGTGCTGGGAAGCGGGGAGAAAGCTGTGCCTCCCCCAGCTCTGAGTCTGAAGACTTGAGGCAATTACATGGTGTTTACATTAGTTCCCCGAGGTTGCTATGAGTGGACCACAAACTGGGTAGCAATAGAAATGTGCCTGTTCTGGAGCTCTGAGGTTGGAAATCAAGGCTCCTGTCTTGTTGCTTCTGGCCAGTGGTGGTCTGTGACATTTTCTAATCCCAATCTGCCTCTTTCAGTATGGTATGTTTCTCTTCATACCGGCTTCCCTCAGTATATCATTCCGTACACATCTCTCTCCTCATAAGGAGGGCAGCTCAACATATAACCTTTCAATTTTATTACCTCTACGAAGACCTTAATTCCAAGCGGTCAGATTCTGAGTTACTGGGAGTTCAATTACCTTCCAGGAAACACAATTTAGAGCACAAACTGTTCTCTTGGAGGCAGGTTTAGAATGAAGAAGAGACGCCTCACTATGGGGCTGGGGTTCACTTCTGCCTCAGTGGGTAAAGCACTCAGCACACAAGCCCGAGGGCCTGGGCTTGAATTCTCAGACACACAGCATAAACATCTGTAATCCCAGCGCTCCTGAGGGAGAGACTCGAGCCAGCTAGCCTGGGCTCACAGCAAACAGCAGAGACCCTAGAGAGATGCTAAGTGCATGTACTGCTCTTGTGAAGAACCCGAGTTTGATTCCCATTACCCATGTGGACTGGCTCACAAAGGTTTGCAATCCCAGCTCCAGGGGACCTAACACTGCTCTGGCTTCCACCAGCATTCAAATGAGATGGGGGTGCGTGAGATAGAGGTGAGGTGGGGGGGAGGCAGGCAGAAGTTCTCTCTAGGTGGAAGGCGGGGACTGGCACCCGAGGCTGTCCTCTGATTTACACACATGGATGTAAGTGTGTGCACACACAAAGAAAAGCAAGATCTCAAGCTGCAGGATACAAATCCTCCTGAGGAGCCAGACTTGGAGCTCGTTCTAGGGACAGAAGCACAATCACACCATTGACACTCGCTGGCATCACCCTTCCTCCAGGCTTGTGTTGGTCAACAGTTACATCTAAGTAGCCTAGAACCCAGATGCCAGCACTAGAAATGGGTGAAACAGTGAGGTGCTGACAAGTGATTGGAATCCTAGTACTTGGGAGGAGGCAAGGGGATAAAGTGAAGGTCACCTTGGGCTACATGAGATTATCTCCATGAAATCAAAATGGATCAAATAGCCTAAGAGGCCCCCACTCCTCTCGAAGCCATCCCTTATTTACATATACTTCCATATTTATGTGTGTGCAGGTACGTGTGTCATGGTGTGCACAAGGTCTGAGCCAATCCAAGGGAGTCATTTTCTTCACTTATCTGGGTTCCAGGGATCACTCAGGTCCTTAGCTTTGTGGCAAGTGCCTTTACCCTGCTTAACTGTCCTGCTGGTCCACACCACAGCCCTTCCTAGTGCATGCTGGCTGGAGGTGGACTCTTGAGAGCTCATACTCCAGAGTCCAGCTCATTGTCTGTATGCCCCCTGGGGCTCCAGTGCCAGGAGGAAGGCTGGACCACAGCTGCTGTGCTCTTGCACTCGGCATGAAGTCCATCAAGCTTGGTGTGTGGCACATGAAGGGTTACTAAAGAGTGTACCAGTAACGATACCAGTAACTTGGCAAACCAACCTCGGCTCACTCCCATTGCTGACATCTACCCTGTATATTTAAGCTACCAATGTATATCTTATGAGCCTTCCTTTTTCCCATCTGTAAATAAAGCCAGGATGCACCTCACAAGGGCAGCCACAGAAATGAATTAGCTATCTACAATCTGTAGCCTAGCATCTAGCATAGGAGGCGCTCTCTCCTTCTCTCAAAGGATTGAAGACTGGGTCTCCAGGAAGGTTGAGCAGAAGTGTTGAGATTTGGTCTAGTGGTCACTGCAAAGCCTCCAGTGGATGAAGTGGGGTGTGTGGAAGGAACTTTAGGATGACGCTAGCCAGCAACCCGCCAGGTGTGGTGGCGCACGCCTTTAGTCCCAGCACTTGGGAGTCAGAGGCAGGTGATCTCTGCAAGTTCAAGGCCAGCCTGGTCTACAAAGCGAATTCCAGGACAGCCAGGACTGTTACACAGAGAAACCCTGTGTGTAGGGGGGCGTGGGGTGGGGGGGAGGGAGACCTTGTCCCATAACTTTGGGAACCGAGGCATGGTTAAGTTCAAGGCCAGCCTGAGCTATATAGTGAGATGTTAAGTTACGTGCATTTCTTCATTTCATTAACACTAATGCTCTAGCTTTGTGCCAGGGTTGGAACAAGGGACAGGTGAGCTCCCAGAAGCACCAATGACAATACAGGAATGGTTGCTGTGGAGACAGAGGGCAGTCTTTCTTGCTTGTCCCTTGTGTGGTACCTGTCTTCACACTTAAGAACAGACTCTGCAAGGTGCAGCAAGGGCCTTGTCTCATACAGGTGTGGTGCACACATCTGTAGGTCCAGCACTCAGGAGGTGAAAGGTCAGAATGAAGGTCAGCCTGGACTATACGAGACCTTTTTTGTTGTCTTAATAGAACAGCAATAATCTGGACTCAAGCCTAAGGTTTAGGCAGCCCAGCCTCTGACGCTTCACCAATGATCACCATAGCTCAATCTGCTCATCTGTGAAAAGGACAGGGAGTCTAGGAAGGCCAAGTCAGGCCTAGAATGAAAGCCAAACATCCACCCTCTTGTCGGGGGTCTTGTGCTCCAGACACCTACGGGCACACTCAGGCCATCTTCCTCCTAGCCTCTTCACCTGGGGTTGATGTCCACTCACCTGATTCTTTCTCTTTTTTTTGAACGATTTTATTTTTAATTACATGTTGATGTGCACATTTGTACCCATGGAAACCAGAGGCGCAGGCTCCCCCTGGAGTTCAAGTTACAGGTGCTTAGAATCGAACCTGCCTTTTGCTGTGGTCTTCCATCTACTTCTGAACCTATTTACCCTTTGAGGAAATCAGGCTGTGACTGAGGCCTCTTTCATGGCCTAGGCTCTGCACGGGGTAGGCTGTCTTTAGCAGGTGAGCCAGGACTGAGTTCTCTCTGAACCCGCCCAGACTATGTAGCCTGATCACTCAGGGATGTACCCAGTCTGGGTCCTGAGCAAAGCCATTTAGCACATCTCAGGATGATGGCGCAGACTGAGCACAGCCACAACCGGACACGGAGCCACGGGCCACGCTGCTTCTCCAAAACACAGAGAATCAGAAAGGGCCGCCTGCAGGAGCCCCACCGGTTTCCCGGATGTTACTGAAGGGTTAGGTGACCAGTGTCAAGAGTGTCTAACTAGGGCCCGGTGCACACTCAGGAGACAGAGGTAAGTGGATCTGTGAGTTTGAGACCTGCCTGGTCTACATAGAAAGACCCTGTCTCCAAAAACAAAAACAAAAAAACCCACAACAAAAAGTTTGTGACTGGGAAAAACAACAGATCAAACTCGATGTTAAGACAGCAAGCTGTGCAGTTACATGGAAATGTCAGGTCCCAGCTCAGCTCTCGAGAAGCATAACTCAGGCGGGATCCCCAGGGCCAAGCTGCTGTCTCATCCTATACCTGTAGCAAGTAGCCTGGCCTGGGAGCACAGGTCCCTGCAAGTAATCCCAACTGTTCCGTTAAGAACGTGAGTCGGTGTTCCCACTGACCCTGAGGTCAAGGCCACTCACAAGTCATCCAAACCTACTACCATGGTCACTTCTCAATTACCGGCCACAGTGGGGCCCTAGGGCAGAAGGCAGTGCAGGGTGCCCCCAGGAGGCACAAGGCCCTCAATCTGTTTTAGGCAGAGGTGGCTCTGTTCACACCCAGTGCCCACCAGGGCTGCCCACTCACAGCTGCTCCCTAACTTCACTTCCACCACTTGCCTGGGTAGACACATGTGGATCAGTCCAGTTTTCCAGTGTGCTGAGGGTGCAGAGAGTCTGCCAGCTTAGAACTCAAGCTGCCCAGTCTGTAAGCCTGGCCAGTGCGCAGAGGTGGGCCCTAGAAAACCAGGCTGTCCATTCACTGCACAGCAGTAAAGCCGGGCCTCCTCTCTGCTCCATGGCCAGGCCTGGCTTCAGCAAGGGTCCAGGAGGACACCAGGGAAGAGGCTCAGTTGTCCCTCTCCTGCTTGATGCGCTCGATGGGGAGAGGCAGCTGTGGACTAGGTGACCGGTCAGGCGAAGAGAGGTCTTGATGCTCCTCCTTCACGCACACAGCAATAACTGTGGAGAGGGAGAATAGTGGGGGCAGAGGATGAGCGTGTGAAGGTGTGACAGCTGGGGTGGATGGCAGAATAGTCAGGGCGCTGGCTTCCCGGGGTGGGGGACCTCTGGGGTAGCAGGGAGCCTGAGTGACGGCCTTCACTCTTCCCCTCACCCTCCTAGAAGCAGCAACAGAGAACGCCCGAGATTGCGGCATAGCAGCGAGACGTCCCATAGGTAACGGTACTTGCAGTCAAGCTGACAACCTGAGGTTGATCCCTGAGACCCACATGGGGAGAGAACCAACTCCTGCAGACTGTCCTCTGCCGGCTCCATGTATGCTGGGGTTCACTCCAGCAGTCCCAATATACATGAGTAAAAGTTTAGAAAAAGAAAAAAAAACAGGCCCGAGGCATACCCCAGCCGGGAAGACTGTGCGAGAAACCTGCACCTGCCAACCTGTCACCACCTTAGTGAGCATGTGGGTAGTTAAGAGGCAGGGGAGGAGGCTGGAGCCAGGACACTGGCTGGAGAGATTCTGCCCAGTTTAGAGTTGGTTGGGTGTTTGAGGCTTTCCAGTTCCAGAGGTTCAAACCCTGTTTGGTGCCTGGAAAATCCCCTTCAAACTCAACTCTATTCTTTTGTGCCCAGGTCAAAGAGCAAAGAGGCCACATCTGAGAATGGAGCAGCCTGGCCCTGCCTCCACCCAGCCGCTCTTACTGTCATCGGAAATGGGCTCCGACGAGACCCCCAAAGCCTGCAGGTCATCCTCCAGGAAGGGCTTCTTGGATCCCTGTCTGATGGGCCGTGTCTTGGCTGATGGGATCCTTTTCCCTATGAATAAAAACAAAACACACCCAGCGTTGGTGCTAGCAGGAAATGTGGCACAGGCACAGTGGATCTGGATTCCAATTCTCAAAGGTGCCTGAGGTCAGAGCATTGTGGCTGCTAGTTTTCTTTCTTTTTTATTTGAGACAGGGTCTCTCTGTATAGCCCTGGTGGTCCTAAACTCACTCTGTAGACCAGGCGGCCTCGAACTCACAGAGATTCACCTGCCTCAGCCTCCAAGCACTGGGAATAAAGGCGTGCACCACCACTGCCTGGCTAGATTTCTGATGTTTGATTTATTTTTTTTTTTTTTTTTTTTAGATTTATTTATTTATTATGTATACAGAAGAGGGTTGCCAGATCTCATTACAGATGGCTGTGAGCCACCATGTGGGTGCTGGGAATTGAACTCAGGACCTCTGGACCTCTCGAAGAGCAGTCGGTGCTCTTAACCTCTGAGCCATCTCTCCAGCCCCTGATGTTTGATTTAATTGTGACATGACACAATCAGGTCCCCACTTTGAACAGCACAGTCTCAATCCAAATGTCACCTGCCCAGGGACCTAGTCCCTGCTTTTGGCTTCGTCCCCTGCAGGCCTTCCTCTCCTCCCTCCACCTGGTGGCCACGCTGTGGAACCCCCTTCTACAGCTTTGTCACCTGCCCTCTGTCCCCTCCTCTGGCAGCCCCATGACCTACTAAGGGTGGCTCCTGACAGCCAGGTGGAGTTGGCCCCGCTCAGCTGCTCTAGGAGGGTGTGAGGGAAGAGCAGCCTTGGGAGCCAGAGTTCTTTCCTCTCTGTGCCTTTCCTGAGAACCTAACAGTGACAGGTGCTTCGGGCAAGCAGCAGCAGGGTAGGACCCCCGCTTCCCTCTCCCCCTCCATTCCTCCCTCAAATCTCAGCCTGTTTCCTCAGCACACACTTGATCCCCTAAGGCACAGGGTCCCCTGGGGCACACTCCAGGAAGAGGAAAGGCATGACCACAGAGACCTCTGCATGGCAGCACCCCAGAAACCAGGGCTTGGCATTCTGAGGCTTCACTTACTTTTCTTCCCAAATTGTTTCTTTTTCTTCTTTGTGGCCTCTTTGCCCTTCAGAGGTGTGTTTGGTTCTAATGTTTGAAAGAACAAAAGAGATAAGAAGAGAGTTCTGGAAGGGCACAGGACACCTCCCAGAAGACCCTTGCCCCTCATCTATGGGGTACTCCAAGTAGAGAAGCCAGAGTTGGACACTGAGGACAGGATGGGGGAAGGGCTGGAGGACAGTTATCCCATCCACCCCCTTGTCACCAGGGCTGCTCAAGGGGTCTGGGTGTACAAGGGCCCAGACATAGGACAGAGCGGGCAAGAGGAAGGAAGGTGTTCTGCAGGGCTGGGGGAGAAGGAGACAGAGGGCAGGAGGGGTGAGAGGCAGAGCTCAAACTTCTTAGGGCAATGGTTCTCAACCCATGGGCCACGACCCCTAAGCCCATTAGAAAACAGATGTTTCCATTACGACTCAGAACAGTAGCAAAATTACAAAATAATTTCATGGTTGGGGGTCACCACAACCTGAGGAACTGCATTAGGAAGGTTGAGAACCACTGGCCCAGAGAAACCAGGAGACTTCTCAGTCTCATGCCAGAGGACTATGGCGGGCATGGGGAGGAGCAGGTGGCAGGAAGGAAAAAGACAAGTGAAGAAAATCCAGGAGCTCTCAGCACTGCTGCCCCCGCCCTGACCTGCAGACACTGGCGGCTGGAGCTGGTAGCCGGTGAGTTCACACCAGCCCACAGGGTAGATGTCGGGGGATTCACAGTCCACCCACTGATCATACTCGTTGTCCCAGCCGTCGAAGTGAATGCTGAGCAGCCGGTGCACCACCCGCTTCACAGTGGCCACACAGATGAGCCGCGGCTCCATCAAGTCCACAGCCTCCAGCTTCATGCCCACTTTGAAGCCATGGTTGGGGCAGTCCTGGTTGGGGGAAGAAGGCAGTTGCCCAGCTGGCCAGTGTTAGGCCCGAGCGCTCACCCAGGCAGGCAGGGAGCGCCGAGAGAACTGTGGGTGGGGAGAGGGGCCACTGGAGAAGGTTCCTTCAGACAGCGACCCCACTGAACTCTTTTCTCAAGTGCCAGCCCCTCTGTAGAGAAGGGACTGGTCTACACTGTGGCTCAGAGAGTATCCATGTCACAGACTTTTCTAGAAGTGGCTGATCCCAGCAGTAGAGACTTGAAAGAAGGGGTTGAGATTGCCACCAGTGATGTCGGCGAGCAGAGCCAGTCCCCAGGCTGCCAGCCTCCCTGAGTCAGAGCTCGAATCTCCTCACCATGTTAAAGAGTCGTGCAGGAGCCGCCTTCGACTTGGTCTTCTCCAAGTAGGTATCCCAGTCGAAAGGCTGAGCCTCATACCCTGGAGGGCAGACATTTAGAACAGGAAGTGGGTCAAGGGGCAGAGCAGCACACTGCTGGAGTCACTGCAGCCTAGTCTGTAGCTGCCCTTCTCCCCAGGAAGACACCGGCTTCAGGACAGTCCTGTGACACAGGTCATGTACCACCTAGGACACACAGGATTCTGTTCACCAGCCACACATCAGCCATGGGGCTGGGGGAGCCCAGGCAGAGGAAAGCTAGTGGTGATTGCAGATGCCCACCATCCTCTCACACTAAGGTGCCATACATCAGGGGTCTGGGCTTGTGGCATCCTGCAAGGCCTTACCTTTTGGAGGCGTGAGCTCAATGTCATTCTTCTGGCAGAAGGTGGCTGGGAAGATGGCATGGGAGGAGGCATGGTAGCAGAACCAGTCTGAGCCATCTGTGGAGGGTCCCCCATCCACACAGATCATCAGGTAACCATCCAAGAGGACCTAGAGTAGGGGCCAGCCAGATGTCTCAAAAGGTAAAAACACTTGCTGTCGGTATGACTCAAGAAGCCACACAGTGGAAGGACAAACCAGCTACCACAAATTGTCCTCTGATTTCCATGCACATAAAATAAATGTAATTAACAAGAAAACAAAACAAAAAGCCCTAGGAACGGGTATAGAGCAATAAACAGCACTGTGACATTAGACTGCAGACCCCCAGAGTAAAGTAGCTATGACTGGACACGAGGCAGGTGGAGCCAACCGGACAGTTGAATTCTGCCTTCCACCAAAATACCCAAGGTGTCTGGCAGAGCACCCAGCATGCAGGAATGTGCATTTGTGGGATAACGCATCCTCTCCACTGGATGGCCAACTCATGCAGTCGGGCCTGCTGCCTTGCTGCACCAGGCTCTCAGCACGCAGGGAGCACAGGGCTGGGCACGAGCAGGTTAGATGGACAACCGGCAGTGCCCTCAGTTAGGAGCAGGGAGTCGGGCTGAGGCTCTGGGCATGCAGGGGATGCAAGTGGCAGGAAGGTCGACACGAGGGGACAGTGTGGAGCCTGTACCTGACACGGGACAAGGCTGAGATGTTAATGTGAAGATAGGTTCTGCGTAAAGGCAGGAAGAGTCTCCCGCTACCACACACAAGTTAAGTACATGAGCAGAGCTGGTGTCAGAGCCCCAAGAGCCTAACTGTGGGGCAAAGCTCTGTGCGATCCAACCCTCAGACAGCCATGCTGGCACTGGGAGAGTGGCCTAGGCTCACCTTGCAGATGGTTGCCACACAGATGTTGCCCAGATTCAGAGGGTCAATGGCTTCTAGTTTCATCCCTTCCTCAAACCAGCCACCTTCTGTGTAGACAGCCCGCACCTTAAAGGATTCAGGGGAAGGAAAAGGAAGTACGTTTCAGATGCTGCAGGCCTGGGATGGAAACAGAGGGCAAGGGGCAGTCCTACTGGGTGTGGTGGTGCCCACCTATAATCCCAGAACTTAAAGAGGCTGTGACAAGCCAGCCTGAGCTACAATGAGACCTTGCCTCAATCTACTCCCTAAAAAGGTCCTCGTGTATGTTAAGGACTGTGGAACAGTCTTTTCCAAAATGGGCAAGGAATAGTCCCAGAGAGCAGCCAAGCTCCTGCAGCCTGGGAAGTGCCCACAGCCGGCACCTTACCTTCTTGAAGAGGTAAGGAACAGCGTCACAGTAGATTTTCCGGAAGGTGGGGTGATGGGACATATCACATCGTCTCTCTTGGGGAGATAGCGGGGAAGAGAGGAAGAAAAGGGAGTTGAAGGCAGCCAATGGTTATCACATTTCCCCAGAATTATGGGGCCAGGCAGGCTACCTTTGTTCTCAGCTGTGCCCCAGCTCCCACCCTGCACAGGAAAGCAGACAAGGCTAGCCCAGAGGAGCCAGAGCAGTCTTGTGGACTGTTCAGCACAGGGGATCTGGGCTCTTTGGTGCTGGCACTGTGATAGTAGCACCTGAGTGACCTGAGTCGAGTCACTGGGCCTCTCTGACCCTCAGTGCTGTCACTTGCAGGCGGTGATGATAGTCCACCTCACTACCTACTGTGAGGTACAGCGAAGGTGTTCCTACTGATCTTTGGGGAGGCTGAGCCTCGAGTTACACCAGCTGGGGGCTCCACTAACCTGACATCTTGATGCCATGGCCGACACGCCGTGACCAACCTACTGGGTGGATCAGGGGACTCCACATATGGCACCAGAAGTCATCATCACTGTCACCATCCTCATAGAGGAGCCGGAGGCGTCCCCCAATTACCGTGTCCACCACAGCCATGCGGGTCCGCGACACCTGGGTCTTGTCCACGACCTCTAGGCGCATGCCTTGCCGAAAGGGGTACTTCATGCTTTCCACCATCTGCAAGGACATGGAACAGCGATCCGCTTCAGTCAGCCACCCTCACATTCCTGCTATCAGCAAAAGCCCAGCGTGGTGGCGCACACCTTTAATCCTAGCGCTCAGGAGGCAGAGGCAGGCGGATCTCTGAGTTCAAGGCCAGCCTGGTCTACAGAGTGAGTTCTAGGACAGCCAGGGCTACAAAGAGAAACCCTGTCTTGAAAAACTAAAGCAAACCAAAGGAAGGGCCAGCAAAGGAGGTGCTGGAGAGATGTCTCGGCAGTTAAGAACACTTGCCCGTCCTGAGGCCCCACATTTGGTTCCCAGCACTGATAGGGCAGCTCACAACTTTCTATAACTCCTGTTCCTCTTCTGGCCTTCCAGGGCACTGCATGCATACAACTCATAGACATGCAGGCAAAACACCCACATAAAATAAAAATAAGCAAATCTTTTTTTTTCTAAAGGGTCAGAGAGACCAGGAAAGGGTGGTGGGATCTCGGAGACACTGAGCCCTCCTGTCTTGCCTGGGCCCCAATCCCTTAGAACAGGAGAGGACAGGCCTACAGTTCTCAGTGGGTGCCCGCTTCTCACCAGATTTCAGTTAGTCAGGATGATGGGAATCCCAGAGTCTACTTCAGACCAAGGAAACTCAAATGACCTAGAAAAGCATAGGCAGACTCAGTTCTGGTGTCCACTGGGCCTTTCAAGGCTCTGTACTGATCCCTGGGCACCCTACACTCCCTTCTACCGCCTGGCCCTCTGTGGATGGCACATGCAAGATTTGTGTTCAGCAGGTATGGTAGCTGTGATCTCAGCACACAAGATCATAGTGAGTTCAAGGCCAACCTAGACTATGTGGAGGGACTTCCTTTTAAAACAAATAAAAAAAATGCCGGGCTGTGATGGCACACACCTTTAGTCCCAGCACTCGGGAGGCAGAGACAGGTGGATCTCTGAGATCAAGGGCAGTCTGGTCTACAGAGTGAGTTCCAGGACAGCCAGGGATACACAGAAAAACCCTGTCTTAGGGGGAAAAAAAAAAGAAAGAAAAAAAGTTAGTGTGGAGTTAGGGTTTGGGAAGGGTTTTGTTTTGTCTTTCCAGGAGAATAAAAGTATTCAACTAAAGAATTTGAAGACCACTGGACAAACGAGACATCTGAAGAAGAGGATGAATTATCCAGAGGAAATGTCCCAAGAAAAAAAGTAATTGGCGCCGGGTGGTGGTGGCGCACGCCTTTAATCCCAGCACTCGGGAGGCAGAGCCAGGCGGATCTCTGTGAGTTCGAGGCCAGCCTGGGCTACTAAGTGAGTCCCAGGAAAGGCGCAAAGCTACACAGAGAAACCCTGTCTCGAAAAACCAAAAAAAAAAAAAAAAAAAAGTAATTGGCTTAATAATGGTATAACTCATTTCCAACAGAAAAAAAAATCGTAAATCTTCCTAAATGTTTCTGTTTTCTATAGACATATAAGGCAAATGGTCTTTTTGTAGTCCCAACTCAATTAAAATTTAAAGCTGGCTTTGGAGTTGGAGTGTGGCTCTCTCCTTCTCTAAACCCAAGCATGCTTGTCAGAGGAAAGTCCAAAATTTCTATCTTTAAGCAGAAGAGCTAGCCCAGTCCCCTAAACCAGACAGACCTTGCCTCTCCAGAGCTCATGGGCCAGACTACATCCTGCCACCAACCACAGGTGACAGCAGCTCCTTTAGGAGTGATACAGCTCTGGGCTTGCAAGTCTTGGGCCACTTACTTACTCTACAAGGCCCACAACCCAGGCACAGCTGACTGCCTTCCCTGTTTAGCATACTGTAGGGGAGCTGAAGCTATGACGGACTGATTTCTTTCTGCATTCTCAGTTCAGAGCTAGGCATGGTTAGTCTGTTTCTCAAGAGAATGCACACACCCCTCCTGGCTGAGGAGACATTTGTTCATTCAAAACACTACTCTGAGCTGGGCATGGTGGCACACACCTTTATTAGTCCCAGCACTCAGGGGGCAGAGGCAGCATACTTTTTTTTTGGTTTTTCGAGACAGGGTTTCTCTGTGTAGCTTTGCGCCTTTCCTGGAACTCACTCTGTAGACATGGCTGGCCTCGAACTCACAGAGATCTGCCTGCCTCTGCCTCCCGAGTGCTGGGATTAAAGGCGTGTGCTGCCACCACCACCCGGTGAGGCAGCACACTTCTGTGAGTTCAAGGCCAGTCTGGTCTACATAATAAGGTTCAGTACAAACAGTGCTATGTAGAGAGATCATGTACCAACAAACAACAAGAAAAACCTTAAAACATTACTGTGCATTGGGTTTGGTGGTTCCTGCCTGTAATTCAGCACTTCAAATGCAGAGGCAGGAGGATTGGAAATTCAAGTTAGGCTTGCCACATGGTTCAGTGGGTAAGAGATCTTTCCTGCCAAGCCTGAAGCCCTGAGGCCCATCTCCAGGACCCACAGGGCCGACTTCACTTCTACCCAGCCCTGTAAATCAAGAAGTTCAAGGCATCCTCACCCACATAGCAAGTTTAAGGCAGGCATGGCCTATCTGAGACTGTCTCAAAAAACAAAACAGACAACCACCACCCACATACTGTGCACTTACTATAATGTCGGCACCTGAGGGCCGCGTCTCGAGTGTTCTCTTCAAGCCCACCCCATTCTGCCCTACCACCCTGTTTTCAGATGTGCCTGGCGAAGTAACAGCCCGGTGCTTCCCACTGGAGAGTCCTAAGCTGTGGTCAGCCTGTCAGGCCGGCTCTCCAAGTCTTCTCTGGGGCAGTGACCTCCCAATGAGCCTGCCTAGAACTCTGTACCCTCTACTGTCTCACATCTTCTCACCCTTTCTCAGTGACTGTCTTGACCAACCAGGGGCTGGTAGTCTTGTTCTACCTGTTGTCCCTTCCCAAGTGCAAAGCAGGCCGGAGCAGGGGGCAGTCAGCACAGGCTTGCAGACCTGTCCACGTGGGAAGAAAAGGGAGGCCTCCCTACTAGCCCTGGGGGGCCACACCTCCCCCGTCGTCTACCCACCTCCTCTTAAACAAGTGCTGGCTGAGTGAGTGGCCAGCTGCCCGTCACTAAATCTGCCAACTGTGCAGGGGGACAGGAGACAAAGCTCCACTTTGCTGAATACAGAGTATAGAAAGTGGAGAGTATGCAAGAGAGAGAAACTGCAAGGAACCCAGTAAGTTCCGAAGAAAAATAACCTCTACTCTGAGGGGAGAAAACAAAAACAAAGCCGGGTGGTGGTGGTGGTGGCGCACGCCTTTAATCCCAGCACTCGGGAGGCAGAGCCAGGCGGATCTCTGTGAGTTCGAGGCCAGCCTGGGCTACCAAGTGAGTTCCAGGAGAGGCGCAAAGCTACACAGAGAAACCCTGTCTCGAAAAACCAAAAAAAAAACAACAACAACAAAAAAAAACAACCAAAAGCCAGGCATGCTTATTAGAGGTGCACTGAACCCCCGCTTGGGGCAGGTCAGTCCCCCTACAGAGACCCAGCAGGCACAGCTTTCCATCCACACACAGCCTGGTTTGTGGTGGCCCCAATTTCCACTCCATCTTATGTCTCAAAGCTGGCTTCCACACCACCCCAGCTCTGCCCGTTCAGGTCCAATCCAAAAGCAAGTCTCTGGGAAGCCTGTTTGATACCTGCTCCTCTGAGAACACAAGGCCAGGTCTACAGAGAGTCCTGGCAGCAAGTTCCTGTATCCTGCTGGGAGGATACAGGAACCTCCCCAACCTCATCAGGAGACCTAAAGGTGGTCCACAGTGAGAGTCTACTGACAAGGGAGAGACAGTATTCTGAAGAGCCTGGGATCCCTCTGAATGGTTACTATGTACACAGACAGACCTTGGCAAGGCAAAGACCTAAGTAGCTTTCTATGGTTTTGTTGTTTTTTGAAACAGATCTCGCCGTATAGTTTTGGCTTACTAAGAACCTACTATGTAGATCATGCTGTCCTTAAATTCACAGAGATCCATCTGCCTCTTTCAAGTGCTGGGAATAAAGGCATGTACCACCATGCTCAGACAAAGTAGTTTTCTAAATTGAAATGATATTTCATACGGATGGTTGACTAGCCCCAGTTCAGATGGCAGCTATTTTTACCATTATTTATGAGCATGATTCTTACTTCTCCCACCAGGCTGGAAAATCTAAGCACGTGCATGTGTGTATGTGTGTGTGTATACACACACATATACATACACTTTGTATTCCCATAGTGCTTTGTTTTTCATTTTTTATAATTTATTTTTATTTTATGTACACTGGTGTATTGCCTGCACGCATGACTGTGTGAGGATGTCAGATCCCCTGGGACTGGAGTTTACAGTTGTGAGCTGCCTGTGGGTGCTGGAAGAGCAGCCTGTGCCCTTAGCCCCTGAGCCATCTCTCCAGCCCTAGTGTTTTATTTTTATTATGTGTATCTGTATGCCGTGTGTGGGTGGGTGGGTGCCTGTGGAGGCCAGAAGAGGGTGTTGGATCCCCTACAGCAGGAGTTGCAAGCAGATCGAAGGTGCCTGATGTGGTGCTGGGAATTGAACTCAGGTCCTCTGGAAGGCCAACAAGTACTTTTAACCACTGAATCATCTCTAGGCCCACCAATTTTTTTTTTTTTTTTTTAAAGACAGGGTCTCAGCTGGGTGGTAGTGGCACACGCCTTTAATCCCAGCACTTGGGAGGTTAAGGCAGGTAGATCTCTGTGAGTTCAAGGCCAGCCTGGTCTACAAAGTTGAGTTCTAGCTAGGACTCACTAGAGACACCCTGTCTCAGGGAAAGAGAGAGAGACAGAGAGAGAGACCCACTTGCTACTAGCCTTGACCTCTCCAGTGCTAGGGTTAAAGGCATGAGCCACCATGACCAGCCCACAGTGCTGTCTTTTGTCAGCAGGTCATAACTTCTTTTTGTCACTGTACTGGCTAGTTTCACGACAATTTGATACAAGCAAGAGCCATTTAGGAAGAGGGAAACTTAACTAGAAAAATCCCTCACCAGACAGGCCTGTGGTACATTTTTTTTTTTTTTTTTAATTGACTGATGTGGGAGGGATCAGTCCATTGTGGGCAATACCAACCCTCAGCTGGTGTTCCTGGATGCTATAAGAAAGCAGGCTGAGGACTGGAGAGATGGTTAAGAGTACTGGCTGCTCTTCCAGAGGTCCTGAGTTCAATTCCCAGCAACCACATGGTGCACAACCATCCATAATGAGATATGATGCCCTCTTCTGGCCTGCAGGGATATATGCAGGCAGAACACTGCATACATAATAAATAAATAAATCTTTAAAAAAAAAAAAAAAAGGAAGCAGGCTGAGCAAACCAGGAGGGAGCAGCCAGTAAGCAGTGATCCTCCATGGCCTCTGCTTCAGCTCCTGTCCTGACTTCCTTGGATGATGAACTATGATGTGGGAGTGTAAGCAAAATAAACCCTTTCCTCCCCAAGTTGCTTCACAGTCACGGTGTTTTATCAAAGCAATAGAAACCAAAGATCCTCTTGAAAAGGCTAGAAGCAAGGACAAGACTCTGGGAAATTTCAAAACCCAAAAGGTCAAGAAAGCAACAGGATCAATGTGGTGGACCAGGGTCTTGGCAGGGAGGCAGGGAGCCAGCCCCCAGAGGCAGTTCTGGGTGGAAGACTGCCAAATCAAAGGTCACAGAAGAGTACTGCACGGACTAGGAGCTGGATGCACAGGCTATGCATGGAAAGCGCTCAGTCCCACCCCAGAACCACAGAAACAAAATAAAACCCCTGAAGGGAATCCTATGAAGGACGGAGAAAAGTGGGAGAGGGAGGGAGGGAGGGGAGGAGGGAGGGGAGGGGAGAGGGACGGGGAGGAGACGAGTTGGGAACACAACCAGACCTTGATGTGAAAATCTGCAGGAAGCGTCCTGGAGCCCACCAACCGCTTCATGAGGTAGGTCTTCCAGTCAGTAAACTTGACATGGATGGCTGCAGAGACATCAGCACAAGCCAGTAACATATACTGATAGAACCTTCACCAACCCAGATCAGCTGGAGGGATGGAACTATTTCATTCTGCCACTTCAGGCCAGTGATGACTCCATCTTATAAAACCAGCCTCTAGGGCTGGAGAGATGCTTCAGTGGTTAAGAACACTGCCTGCTCTTCCAGAGGACATAGGTTCAACTCCCATTCCTCCCTGCCCCCCCCCCCCACACACACACATGGTGATTCACAACCATCTCTGACCCTAGTTCCAAAAGGAGAGTTTCTCAGGCTCCTGTACACACACGGTGAACGACAGACATTCACTCAGGCGCGCGCATGCGCACGCGCACGCGCGCGCGCGCGCGCGCACACACACACACACACACACACACACACACACACCCCTATATATATGCATAATATACCTATATATATGCATATTAAAACAACAACAAACAGACTCTGGAAATCCAAACTGCCCAGGGACTTTGAGGCTGAGTAGGAAAAGGAACAAGGGGACAAGCATGTCGTTCTTGGGTTCCCCTCAGGAACTGGCATAGGGAGCTTTCTCATGAACTCACTCCGCGGCGGCACCAGGATCTTGCTGTTGATGGCGCACCAGCCAATGGGGTGGACATCCACAGTCCCGAGGTTGCACCAGAAGTCATGACTAGCATCGCTTTCAAAGCCTTCATATCGGAGCAGCACTCGGTACCCTGAAAGGAAGGAGATGGGGAAGGTACGTTCTCAGGCTTTCTTCCTTCTCTAGACCCAGGCAGGTTTCCTACTTCCTCTGCTAGGGACTCCTTGCAGACATGTGGGTCCCTGATAAACAGAACAAAACAAAATCCACGGCACACATTTGGAAAGCATTCTGGTCTGGTGAACTCTTCTACACCCTCATCATCTCCAGAATAAACCTTAAAAATCAAAACAGAATAAAACCCTAGTCTCTGAGTCTGCCCAGTTCTGCGCTCTCTATCCAAGGAGGGGAAAGAAAGCTAGTGGGTGAGGTTTTGATTCATGAAACCCATTTCACCCTATGACACTGCCCACCCATATGACTAGATATGTCGCTTTGTAGACAAATTCCAGACCCTGCGCTGACCAGAGGAACACCCACCAGCTGCCTGGATGACAGAGGCAATCCAGTACACCCGGCTGGGGAGCACGGCGTCACTATTGAGGACTTCCACCTTCATCCCCTTCATGACGTCTTCCCACTGGTCATAGAGGGGCACCTGTGGTGACAGAGCATGGAAAGGCTGAGGGGAGCTGCCTCAGGCCTGAGCCATCATGTCCTCTGCACCTTAACTTCACACATCATAGACTGTGCAGAAAACTAGGAATAAAGAGGTGATCAGGCCTGTGCACTGTCCAGAAGCATGAGACAGCAGGGTGCCATCAGGCAGAGCCATGGGTGGAGGGCCAGAGGCACAGACCTGAATTCCCCTCATTACAGGGCCTGCTCCTAATCTATCAGTGTGGACACTGTCATTCCTGGTTCGTCCTGACCTGTCATTCCACCAGCTGTACAGCATGTCATAGCACAGAGATTACCCACTTTACTATCATTCACCCTGCGCTTACACACAGAGCTGGGAGAGCGCATGCACACTCATCCCAGTCCCTGCCTACTGAGCAGCTTCTGGCTACCCTCCCAATGCCTAGCCCTCGATCTGCTGCCAATGGGAAGCTGGTCCTCCTTTGGATCTTCTTTCACTGTCAGATCCGGCCTAAGCTACTTGCTAACAATCCATCTCCCAGGGCAGACAGGCTCACAGAGGCCTGGGGCAGCAATGCAGTGGCCAGGCACACAGCATCTTGTGTTAAATATGACCTAATCTCCCTACAATAAAAATGTGGGGACTAGGAGAATTTGGGGCAAAGGAGAACGCTTTCTTCCCCTGCAGGAAAGATACACAGCATCTTGTGTTAAATATGACCTAATTTCTCTACAATAAAAATGTGGGGACTAGGAGAATTTGGGGCAAAGGAGAACACTTTCTTCCCCTGCAAGAAAGATACATACTCACTAGCAACTCAGAGAAAGACACAGTAGGGATAGGACCAACTTGTCGAAGTTCAGGGCAGGCAGGACAACGTAGGAAGGCCAGGCAGCTGGTTTACTCTGGTCAAAAGAAAGCCTCAGGAGGCCTTCTCTCTTGCTTTAGGAAACAGGACTGAAAGGCTAAGAAACTGTGTTGTGGAATATTATTTTAAGATGTGTTACATTTGTTTATGCTGTGGAACATCTGTTTAATGATGCAAAGATGTGTTGCATTCTTTTACGTTGCATTTGTTTAACTCTGTGAAGCTGTGTTACTGTGCCTGTCTAAAACACCTGATGGTCTAATAAAGAGCCAATAGCTAGGCAGGAGAAAGGACAGGCAGGGATGGCAGGCAGAGAGAATAAATAGGAGGAGAAATCTGGGAAAAGAAGATAGAGGAACAAGAAAAAGGGGAGATGAGGACATCAGGGGCCAGTCACTCAGCTACACAGCAAGCCACGGAGTAAAAGTAAGAAGTAAAGAAAGGAATAGAGAACAGAGAAATATAAAAGCCCAAAGGTAAGAGGTAGATGGGATAATTCAAGTTAAGAAAAGCTGGCTAGAAACAAGTCAAGCTAAGTAAGAATTAAGTCTCAGTGAATTTATTTGGGAACTGAGTGGCGGGCCTCCAAAGAGCCAAAGAACCAAAAGAGTAAAAAACAAACAATAAAAACCCAACTATGCCGGGCGGTGGTGGCGCACGCCTTTAATCCCAGCACTCGGGAGGCAGAGACAGGCGGATCTCTGTGAGTTCGAGGCCAGCCTGGGCTACCAAGTGAGTTCCAGGAAAGGCGCAAAGCTACACAGAGAAACCCTGTCTTGAAAAACCAAAAAAAAAAAAAAAAAAAAAAAAAACCCAACTACTACAAAACTGGGCTTGATGGCTCATTCCTGTGTGCCAGCACTTGGGAGACTGAGGCAGGAAGACTGCTCTCAGACCAGCCTGAGCTCTAATGTGAGACCCTGTCTTAAATTAAAACAAAAGACACAAAAATGAAAGACAAGCGGGGCGGTGGTGGTGGTGGTACATGACTTTAATCCCAGCACTCAGGAGGCAGGGGCAGGCAGATCTCTGAGTTCAAGGCCAGCCTGGTCTACAGAGTGAGTTCCAGGAAAGCCAGGACTACACAGAGAAACCCTGTCTCGAAAAATCAAAGGTGTGTGCCACCACTGCCTGGCTAAAAACAAATTTTTTTTTTTTCCCCCGAGGGGAAAAAAATTTTTAACGGGGGAAAAAAAACATCAAAAATGAAAAAAAGAACACCTCCTGAACTCAGACTAAACCAAATTTAATTGTGTAAATAGTATGCAGACACTTCAGAAAGCAGGGGCAGTTGTATATGGTGCAAGACATTCTTATTTTTTCTTTCTTTCTTTCTTTCTTTTTAAAACAGGGTCTATTTATCCCTGGCTGTCCTAGACACTATATAAACCAGGCTAACTTACAGAGATGTACCTGCCTGTGTCTCTCAAGTGCTGGAATTAAAGGCATACACCATTACACCTAGCATACATTGTATAAGCATATTGGTGCTTTGCCTGCACCCCAGAAGAGTGCACAGGATACCACAGGAATACAGTTATAGGTGGTTGTAAGCTGCCATGTGGGTGCTGGGAATTGAACTCCGGACTCCTGGAAGAGCAGCCAGTGCTCTTAACCACTGAGCCATCTCTCCAGCCCTGCAAGACAGAGGAGGATTTCTGGGGAATGGCCAGCCTGGAGCAGCTCAACTGAAGTGTGTGGGTAGCAATGAGGCAGGCAGCTGAGATGTCCTCTGGCTCTCCCTCCCTGGTTGCAGAGCACTCACGTGTTTAAAGCAGCTGACAGGAGCAGCCTTGTAACTGTGGTCCTTCAGGAACTTCCCCCAGTCGAACCCTAAGACCAGAGCTGCAGAGCAGAGAAGAAGAGGTGAAGCAGGGGATCCTCGGCAGCATGTTAACATCAACCTGGAAGCCCCACTGGGCTCCAGGAAATGAGTCTCTTTATCACCACCAATGGCCATCAGGACCGTGAGCAGAGGGGCATCCAAAGAGAAACTTCTCTCCCTTCGAGCCCCACAGCCAGGGGGGATTGGATCAGATCTCCCAGGATTAACTTCCTCCTCCTGCACCCAGTCATTGAGACACCTAGAGGGCCAGGGCAGGCAGAGCAGCAGACCGCCCACCTGGCTGAGCAGTGCAGTTTCAGCCTCTTTGAGGCTTTGTGTGATTTGCTCATCATTCACTACACTTGGAGAACCGAGAGGCCCCTTCCACCTGCTGCACACACCCTGGACCTCTCCTGCACCAGGGAGACAGAAGCCATGGAGACAGATGCAAAGAGAAACAAAGCAGCTAACTTGGTTTCCGGGTTATCACAGAACCAGGCAATTGCGGGCCACTGAAAGAACTGCCAGCCAGGTAGTGGTGGCGCAGGCCTTTGATCCCAGCACTCGAGAGGCAGAGCCAGGTGGATCTCTGTGAGCTGGAGGCCAGCCTGGTCTACAGAGCAAGATCCAGGACAGGCACCAAAGCTATACAGAGAAACCCTGTCCCAAAAAACAAAAACAAACAAACAAAAAACAAAACAAAACAAAAAGAAAGAACTGCCTAAGGTCATTTCCACAAAAGCCAGCAGGTGGACAGTTCATGGCAGGCCTGAAACCCCAACTTTCTAGCAGGCCACCTTTTCCAGTCCTTCTTCCGAGGAAAGGCCATTCCCTAGCCTGGTCACTATCCCAGGATTCTGTCTCACCATCTTGTCCTGTGGGTGTCCCATCTGCTAGCTGTCCTGTCCCCTGGGCGTGGAGGAAGGCTCCGATTTTGGCAGACCAGGCTGCCTTGTGCAGCACTTTGGCTTTCTTGGTGGGCGGCTTCCCCTGGAAGGCAGGAAGAGAAGGGTATAGGCTGACAGCTATGAATGGGATCTGGTTCTATTTTGCTTTGTTTTTTTGAGATACAATGGCCTGGAATTTGTAGCTCTTGTGCCTCTGCCTCCTGATTGCTGGGATTCCAGGCACATGCCAGCAGACCAAGTGAGAAAACAGAGCTTGATTGGTACTGCTGAGGCCAAGCTCCTGGTCTTGGTCCAGCTACTTAACTTTCTTTGGGCTTGAGTTTCTTTGGTAAAACTGATGATGAATGAGCTGGGCGGTGGTGGCGCACGCCTTTAATCCTAGCACATAGGAGGCGGAGGCAGGCAGAACTCTGAGTTCGAGGCCAGTCTGGTCTACAGCGGGAGTTCCAGGATAGGCTCCAAAGCTACACAGAGAAACCCTGTCTCCAAAAAACCAAAACCAAAACCAAAATCTGATGATGAGTGAGAACACTCAGGAGATGTTTACAGAAGGATGGGGTCCGCAGAGCTGCAGGGAGGGAGAGGCACTCATCCTTCAGGCCTTTGCCTTCTCCAAGTCTCTCCTGAGCCCCCCTCCCCCGCGGTCCTCTCCATGCTCCCAGCTCCTTGGAGAGCTACAACTGAGGGGCTAAAGAGGGGCCAGAAACTCTCCAAACCCGCAGGCAACATTTGGAGAGTCTGCTCCAGAACATTCTAGAGACTTTCATCTGGGCTCAGGAAAAGCTCACTTATACAAGCTAATTAAGCAACAATGACAAAGGCCAGGAATCCACTCAACACGCCAGCTAAACAGAGGCACACCGGCATTAAGGTTCTGACCTTAAAGCACTGGTTCTCAACCCGTGGGGCCCAGCTCCTTTGGGGGCATCAAACAACTCTTTCACAGGGGTCGCATCAGACATTTACACTATGACTCATAACAGTAGCAAAATTACAGTTATGAAGTAGAACAAATAGAATTTTATGGTGGGAGGTCACCACAATATGAGGAACTAGCCGGGTCATGGTAGTGCACACCTTTAATCTCAGCACTCGGGAGGCAGAGGCTGGCAGAGGCCAGCCTGATCTACAAAGCAGATTTCAAGATAGCTAGGACACAGAGAAACCCTGTCTCGAAAAACCAAATAAACAAAATAAAATAGGGGTTTGGTAAGATGGCTCACTGGTTAAGACTACTGGTTGCTCTTCCAGAGGACGAAGGTTCAGTTCAGTTCCTAGCACTTACATGGTAGCTTACAACTGTCTCCACCGCCTCTAGGTCCCAGGCTACCTGACACCCACTTCTGGCCATCTCAAAAAAAAAAAAAAAAAAAAACCAAACAAAAAAAAACAAACAAAACAAAAAAAACCCAACCCTGAAGGAAAGAAAGAAGTGGGGGTGGGGTGGCACTTTTTGTTTGTTTGTTTGTTTTTCGAGACAGGGTTTCTCTGTGTAGTTCTGGTGCTGGGATTAAAGGTGCGCACCACCACTGGCCGGCTGGGGCAATTTTTGAGGCAAGGTCTCATGTACCTCAGATGACCACTAGGGATGAGTTCCCCAAACTGACTAAGCCATTGGCCTCCAATCATGTGGTGGCTCCGGCCCAGCGCCCAGGACACAGGAAGGGCGTGAGCGGCGGCCCTCACCTGCAGTCTAGCCAGGATACTGGCTTTCTTGGAGTTGGAGGAGTAGCTTCTGGAACAGGAGACGCTGCAGAACCTCTTGGTCTTGGAGAAGAAAGCTTCTCTTGTGCCCACGATACCACACATCTCACAGACCGCTAGAAAGAGAACTCGGCATGTGACTCCCTGACATCATTACTCTAGTCAAACAAAACCACGGGCTCCTCAGATTCCTGAGCACTGCATCAACCATGTGAGTGTTCAGCTCTAAGGCTGACAGAGTGAGGAGGAGTTGGAGGACAGTGCACTTCTCTTCCAAGAGCAAGTCTCTCTCCGTGCTACCCTCAAATCTGTAGGTCAACTGACCCTCTGCCATCAGCCTCTCCAGCAGCTGGGACTACAAGTGTGTGCCGCTCCATCTATCCACCCAAGATGACTGGTGGTTTCCCTTGGATCTTTATGGAGAGCCAGGGCTAAGGGACTGGAAATGCACACGAACACCTGCAGAGACTGGTCGACAGGGTTTGGAGAGGAAGTGCCAAGAGGTGCTCCTGTTCTCACAAGGAGCAAGTGGACAAGCTGGGTTCGCCTGACTTCACACTGGGTCACTGGCCTGGGCTCCAGGGACGGCATCTGACGTGCTTTATCAGCATCCGCCATGACTAATCTGCAGCCGGGGTCATGAACCAGCCCCCTGGACCAGCTGTTCTCCCTAGGGACTCCTGCTAGATTGAAGTTCTCAGAGTCTGAGAGGGCTAGAAGAACAGAGAAGGGAGAAAGATGAAGAAATGTGGGAGGAGAAGCCAAGATGACTGGAAGGAAACCTGACCCCACTGCCCAAGAGTGCAAGTATGAAGGAATGAGAGGGCCTGCCTGCAGACTGGAGCCTGCCTCTTTCCAAGGACACACTGCTCACACTCTGGAAGCCCTGACACAGGGTCTGGCAGCCATCCGAGGCTTCAGGATGATCCTTGGCCACTCCCTTCTGCCCACCTCCATGCCTGCCCTCTGACCTGTACGTCCCCCTACAACTTCCCAGCTGCGGCCCATAAGCTATCTGTTTGCACTCACACCACTCCCAGGGTCTCACCTCCACATCCAGACTCAGGGACTACCCAGGCTACTCACACTACTGTAATGGCATCATCTAACAAGTGCCCAATAGACACGAGGTGTCAGAGAATTTGAAACTAGACTGCAGGAGAGGACATGACCCTTAGATATCTGTACGGCTCTGCCCCCACGGCCTCTGTCCATCCATCCCCCAGCCTTCCACAGCCCCCTGGCTACTCTCCATCTTTAAGGACACTGTGAAGGCACCTGGCTCGGAACCACTGCCATCCAAGGAGCGGTTATTGCCAGGGCTGAGCAGATGCAGCGGGGAGGTGGGAAGCTCCCCCGCTTCCCGGTCTTCAGTTTCGGCTTCACTTGACTCCTCCAGGTAGGAGCTGCCCTCACTGCCTGCACTGCTGTTGTAACTCCGGAAGCTATCGTAGCCCCCGAAGAGGTCCAAGTCGTCCTCCTCCTCTTCGTCCATTGGCTCTGAAGATGGCGTCTCCTGGTGGAAGAATAGCATGTGCTTGGCTTGGGGAGAGAATTTGCAAACTCGGTAGCCCACCCAGTATGGGTCGGGGATTTGAACTTTGGTCCTCTGAAAGAGCAGTAAGAGCTCTTAACTGCCGAGCCATCTCTTCAGCTCCCCACGGGATGACATTTTAATATGGATGAAATAGAATACGGATAGGGTCACATCTGGGTAAACCTACTGTAAACTAAAATATTATAAATGGAGGAGCTGGAGAGGTGGCTCGCTGTGTAGACCAGGCTGGCCTTGAACTCAGAGATTCGCCTACCTCTGCCTCCCGAAGGCTGGGATTAAAGGCATGCACCACCATGCCCAGCCCGACCATCTAGCCTACCCTAGCTTATCAACACAGTGCGTAGTAGGATATTGGGTTGTTTTCTCTAGTGACTGCAGGGCAAACTGCAAGCTGTGGTTTGTTTGCGCCTCTGCCCACCACCAAGAGCTCTCACACGGGCAGCCTGGGTACAGAGCAAATGTCAAAGTACAATGTCTTCTGAATAAATATTGCTTTCACACCACTATAAAGTCAAAAAATTATGCCAGGGATCAGAGGTCTATACAATAATGTGGAAATTATATCCCAAGCACCACAGGAAAAAACAAAAAACAAAAAACAAAAGACTTCCTGGGCAGAAGGCATTTGAAATCCATTCTTCCCTGTTCAGTGTATGCACACCCAAATGATTTCAATCAAAAACAATTTTTTTTTTTTTTTTTTTTTTGGAGACAGAGTCTCTCTGTGTAGCCTTGGCTATCCTAGAGCTCTGTAGACCAGACTGGTCTTGAACTCACAGAGATCCACCTGCCTCTGCCTCTAGAGTGCTGGGATTAAAGGTGTGTGCCAGCACCACCTGGCTCAAAAACAAATTTAAGGCTGGCAGCAGTGGTAATCCTGTTACTGCCTAGCCCACTGTCCCTGGCAGTGTATTCAATAAGTCTATTTTCTTCCTAAAAGTGTGGGCAGGGGGAACCTGAGAAAAATTGAGACCCAGACTGTCCCAAGGAGGATGTGAGTAAGATGATACACAGATAGTAATTGTATAGTGGTATGGACCACAGCTTACAGTTAAGCTCTGATCCTATTCAGCTACTGATCCTTGGCTCATTTAACTTCTGTGGGCCTCAGTCTTCTCATCTATGACAATTTTCTCATCTATGAAAGAAAAGTGTTGGCTCACAGAATGTGAGGTATAGATGTGATACTACATAAACACTCAGGGTTCAAATACCATCTCTAGTACTTCCTAGCTGTACAATCCACAGCAAGGAAGACAACTCCCATTTTCAGCATCCACAAAATGAGAACAAAACCACTATTTAATAATATTTTGGGCCGGGCGGTGGTGGCGCACGCCTTTAATCCCAGCACTCGGGAGGCAGAGGCAGGCAGATCTCTGTGAGTTCAAGGCCAGCCTGGACTACCAAGTGAGTTCCAGGAAAGGCGCAAAGCTACACAGAGAAACCCTGTCTTGAAAAACCAAAAAAAAATAAAAATAAAAATAAAATAATATTTTGGGAAGGAGGGATGATAAAAGTAAAACACTCAGACTGGGTGGTGGTAGCGCACGCCTTTAATTCCAGCACTCGGGAGGCAGAGGCAGGCGGATCTCTGAGTTCGAGGCCAGCCTGGTCTACAGAGTGAGTTCCAGGACAGATTCCAAAGCTACAGAGAAACCTTGTCTCGAAAAACCAAAACAAAGTAAAACACTCAGAAGAGTGCTCAATAAATGTTGGCCATTATTACTGCTTGAAAAAGAAAGGAGACTTCAAAGGCAAAGTGTGGTGGATAACCGCCCCTGTACCATGGGGAAGGCATAACAAGGTTTTGGAAACTGCCGTACTTAGTGCCAACATCTGGCACTTTCCAGCTGTGTCAAATCCTGGGGAATTCAACAGGCTGTTTTAACCCCTCCCTAAAGAAGATGGCTATGCGTATACTGGAGACAGACACGCGAACGCTCCGGCGTAGTATCCACTTTTTAATAATCAACTTTTATTTCCCTTTACTTCCCGCGTGGAAGCGACAGGCCGCCGCACAATCCCTAAAGCACAGGACCACGAAACCAAGAGGACAAAGAAGCGGCGACATAGTTTAGAGCCCGGTTCCCATGTCCCTGGATGGGGAGGCGTTCCCTTCCTGCCGTCTTCCACGGACCCGAGCCCACAGTATAACAGGAGCAAAAAAAAAAAAAAAGAACCCTGGGGGGGGGGGGTCTCGGGGCGGGACTACGCTCCTTCCCTCAGTTTACCAATCCTGCAACTCTCCACCCCCAAGGCATCGCTAAAACGGTGCACCCGCCGAGTGAGGCGTTCAGGGCTCCCTTTCCCGGCAGGGCTGAGCCCTTTCCCTCTTACCTCAGTGCCCCGCGATTTCTCCATGATACCAAAGTCAATTTCCTCAACCGTCACCAGGTGCAGGAAGCCATATTGCCCTCGCCGCTCACCGAGAATGTGCTCATTGGTCACCGCGCCTGCGCTGTGGACCAATCGCACCGTAGGAAATAGGAAAAGCCGGTTCCGCGCTCGCCCGCGCCCCGCCTCCATTAAGGCGGGGCTGGGTAGCCCGGGAGGTTATGGGAGTTGTAGTTTTCTCCCCGGGTGAACGCGAAGGGGCGTTGCCTTAGTAACGCATAAATCTCCTGGAGGGTGCTTCTCTTGTCCTCCTCTGTAAGCCAACTTTCAATACTTCCCAGCACCTAGGATGGACGCGTCCAGGCGCCAGGCGAAACTTCGTACCCTCCCCAGGTAGGAAGTAAAGGTGCTTGTCTACTGGGATGCCTAGAAGAAATGCCTAGTCCCTCTTTCAACTCAGGCAGAAACTGGAATATTCTTAATCCCTATGTATGCCATAAATGCTATGCTCCCTCGAAATTCTCAGGCTGGGCCTGGTGAGATGGTTTAGCGTGTAAAGGAGCTTGACACTCGAACCTTTCTACCTGAACTCAAATCTCCAAGCCCAAGCCTTCCCAAGAGAGAACCGACGCCAAGTAGTTGTCCTGACCTCCACATTCACACGCACACACACATCAAGCAAACACACACATGCTAAATAAATAAACGTAATAATAAAACAACAACAACAACAAAGGACTGGAGAAATGGTTCCGTGTTTAGTGGCTGTTTTTCAGAGGTCTGATTCCCAGCACCCACATGGGAACTCACAAATGTCTGTAACTCCAGTTGTAGTGGATCCTACTCTCTCTTCTGACCTCTGAGGACCCTAGACACTAACATGCATGCGCGCGCGCGCACGCACGCGCACACACACACACACACACACAGTGCAAAATACTTATATACATAAAAAAATTATGCCGGGCGGTGGTGGCGCACGCCTTTAATCCCAGCACTCGGGAGGCAGAGCCAGGCGGATCTCTGTGAGTTCGAGGCCAGCCTGGTCTCCAAAGCGAGTTCCAGGAAAGGCGCAAAGCTACACAGAGAAACCCTGTCTTGAAAAACCAAAAAAAAAAAAAAAAAAAAAAAAAAAAAAAAATTATAAGATACGTTATAACCCTCAGGCTAGGTGAGATGATTCAGACAGTAAATGATTGCCGCTAAAGCATGGGGACCTGAGTTCCATCTCCTGTACCTGATGGAGGGTGCCTGTGAGCCCAGCCCTGGGTAAGCAGAGACAATGAATGCGAAGAGACTGAGGAAGAGATCTGAAGTCAACTTCTATCCAACTCGAGTACACACATGGAGTCCTCACAACTTCCTTCTACATCCTGGGATCTCAGGAGTTATTGTATAGCCTCACAAACATCTGAAATCCAGAGAAATCAGTCACCATCTTGCTTCTCCCAGATCCCCATCTCCTCACCCTGTTTGTTGCTTTTTGTCTTTAAATTTTTGTCTATTTATTTATTTCACGTGTATTAGAGTTTTGCCTTCATGTATGTCTGTGCATCATGTTCATGCCTAATGCCAGCACATGCCAGAAAGAGGGTGTGGGATATCATGGAAGTGGATTTACAGACAGTTGTGAGCTGCCATGTAGGTGCTGGGAATCGAACCTGGTCCTCTGGAAAAAGCAGCCAGTGCTCTCAGCTACTGAGTCATCTCTCTGGTCCATTGTTTTTTACTTGTATTGTTTTGATTCTTTTTTTGTTTTTTTGAGAAAGGGTCACACTACATAGCCTTGGCTGGCCTGGAATTCACTACGTGCTGAGGTTAGCTTTGAATTCAAAGAGATCCACCTGCCTCTGCCTCTCCAGTGAGTGCTGGTATTGAAGTCGGGCATCACCACTGCTGGCTTTGCTACTTTTTTGTTTTGTTTTGTTTTTGTTTTTGTTTGTTTGTGTGTGTGTGTGTGGTGTGTGTGTGTGTGTGTGTGTGTGTGTGTGTGTGTGTGTGTTTTGAGACAGGGTTTCTCTGTGTAGCTTTGCGCCTTTCCTGGAACTCACTCCGTAGCCCAGGCTGGCCTGGAACTCACAGAGATCCGCCTGCCTCTGCCTCCCGAGTGCTGGGAATAAAGGCGTGTGCCACCACCGCCTGGCCTTTGTCGCTGTTTTTATTTTTTTTATTTATTTATTTATTTATTTATTTATTTATTTATTTTTATTCTTTTCTTTCAGGGGAGAGCGCGAACGCAGTCCCCCACTATCACAAATTATGCAGTTGAATTTCCCGCATTTGGGGAAATCGCAGGGGTCAGCACATCCGGAGTGCAATGGATAAGCCTCGCCCTGGGAAAACCACCTTCGTGATCATGGTATCTCCCCTGCCAGGTTTTTAAAAAGACTCGGAGTCTAATTTGCGCGGCCCTCATATTTCTCGGTGTAGAGCCATCACTTGAGTGTGGTTGGCCTCCCAGGAGCCACACCTTCAAAAAAACCACCAACTCCCCGCAAATCTGCTGCTGTCCATGGTGCCTGAGTTAGGAGTAGGAGCTCACAAACCTCTTTCCACCCTCTGCTGGGAGGTAGGTTGGCTTCAGTGCATGCCTTACTACAGGCAGCCACAGCTGCTCTAGATTTATGGGTGCAGTGGTCCTGTCCTGTCCAGAGACATCCTTTAGCTCTGGTCTCTGAAAATTTACCAAATCGCCTAGTGGTGGTGGTGGTGGTGGCGGCGGCGGCGGCGGCGGCGGCGGCGGCGGCGGCGGCGCATGCCTTTCATCCCAGCACTCAGGAGACAGAGGCAGGTGGATCTCTGTGAGTTCGAGTTCAGGCTAGTCTACAGGGCTACACAGAGAAACCCTCTTGAAAAAGAAAAAGGAAAACAAAAAGTTGACCAACCCCTCTTCTGTGAGGATCCCTGGGGCCTGAGGGATGGGCGTGTGTCTTGTCCCATTTGCGGGTGCCCGTTCCATTGACACTCATTCTCTGCAGTGTGACCCGTTGTGAGTTTCTGCACACACTATTGGATATCAGTGAGGATTTTGTTGTTGTTGTTTTGTTTGTCTGTTTGTTTGTTTTTGTTTTTTTCCAGGGTGGTGGTTCAGAGACTCGTTATGTATCCCTGGCTGGCCGGGAAGTTTGTTTCCGTGGAAGACTGTCTCACGCTGAAGCTGGAGCTCACCAGTTGGTGAGACTCCGTGGCCAGGAAGTTCCAGGGTTGTCTGTCTCTACCTCCCCAGTACTGGGATCCCAGGAGGATGCTGAGCTTTTACAAGGGTGCAGAGGGTCCAGCCCAGGTCCTCATGTTTGCATGGAAAGGGTTTAGTGACTGAGCCGTCATCCCCACACTGAATCTTCACCTTTAATCCACACAAATGATTTTTTTTCCTTTCTGGTGCTGGGGAATATAATACAGGGCCTCAGACATGCTAGGAAAGAATTCAAACTTTGAGTGACATTCTAAACCTTACAGAAGTGACATGGTCATTTTCTTGCCTCAAATTCCTGGCAGATGAGCTGGAGAGACAGTGCAGCGATTGAGAGCCCTTGGCTGTTCTTGCAGAGGACCCAAGTATGTTTCACAGCACCTGTGCTGGGCTGACCACAATCACCCATAACTCCAGCTCCAGGGGCTCCAAAACCTCTGGACTCTACAGGCACCTGCACACATGGACACACACACACACACACACACACACACACACACACACACCCTATACATGTAATTAAGAATAAATTTAAAACAAAACAAAACAAAAACCTCCTAGGGCTGGAGTGATGGCTTAGCGGTTAAAAGCACCAGATGCTCTCGCAGAAGATCAGAGTTCAATTCCTAATACCCACATGGTGACTCACAGCCATCTGGAAGTCCAGTTCCACACAGCCTCTGGCACAGAAATACATGCAGACAAAACATCCGTACACATGAAATCATGATATATTAAAAAGTAAAAGCCAGATGATGATGTGGTGCACTCCTTTAATCCCAGCAAACTGGAGGCAGAGGCAGGTCATCTCTGTGAGTTCCAGGCCAGTCTGGTCTACAGAGTGAGTTCCAGGACATCCAGGGATACACAGAGAAACCTTGTCTGGAAAAACAAAAACAAAAACAAATACACACCACCACCACCAAAACAAACAAACAAACAAAAAACCAAATTAAAAGTAAAAAAAGCCCTCCTAATAGTTTCTCTTTGGATTTCAAATAAATGCCTTAAGACTGAGTAACTCGGCCTGTGTTCTCTCCAGGCTTCCTGCCTTTGCTAGACCCTTCTCTTCCCTTCCGTTCTTGGATTCTGGGCTTGAGTTGACTTGTGAACTGAGAACGAGAATTCACCCCGATGAAATGCCGTTTCCATAGAGCAATACCTTCTTGAATTCAAGTCACTCTCAGCCGCGTGTAGTATACACACCTGTAGTCCTAGCATTGGGGAGGTAGAGGCAGGAGGATGAGCAGTTCAAGTTTACCTTCCGCTATGTACTGAGTGTCAGATAGCCTGGGTGACATAAGATTGTCTCAAAAATGAAATAGAGATCATTCTCTGGCTGCTGTGTATAGAACAAATTGAAGGTAGGCCAAGAGAAACAGCAGGAATGCCAATTAGAAAACTCCTATAATAATTCAGATAAAAGATGATGGGGCTGGAGAGATGGCTCAGCGGTTAAGCTGCCTGTAACTCAGTTCCAGTGGACCTGACACCCTCACACAGACATAAAATATATAGTCAAGCTGGGTGGTGGTGGCACATGCCTTTAATCCCAGCACTCGGGAGGCAGAGCCAGGTGGATCTCTGTGAGTTCGAGGCCAGCCAGGGCTACGCAGAGAAACTTTGTCTTGAAAATCAAAACAAAACAAAACAACGAAAGAAAGAAAGAAAGAAAGGAAGGAAGGAAGGAAGGAAGGAAGGAAGGAAGGAAGGAAGGAAGGAAGGAAGGAAGAAAAGAAAAAGAAAGAAAGAAAGAAAGAAAGAAAGAAAGAAAGAAAGAAAGAAAGAAAGAAAGAAAGAAAGAAAGAAAGAAAGAAAAAAGGTAGTGGGGATGGGGATCTGGAGAGATGGTTCAGTGGTTAGGATTACTTGCTATTCTTCTAGAGAACCCAAGTTCAGTTCTAACAGACAGCTCACAGCTGCCTGGAACTCCATCTTCAGAGG